CTTACAAATTTTGTACCCATCTTTGTAGCTGAACTTTAAGCGATCATTCTAGCGCTACGCGAATTAACAGCCCCAACAAGTTCTGCAGTAATTTTGACGGATACCTTATCGATGTGTTCTTTTTCAGAAAATGAGGACTCGCCTGTTCTGAGTGCATTGAGATGCTTGATTCCCCCACATATAAAATTAAGTTAGTTTGGCTTCCAGGGCATAAGGGCATATTTCTGAATGAAATGGGGGATGCGCTAGCAAAGACATCTTTAAGTGGCCCGGTTACTTAAGTATTGCCGGCAACCAAGTTCATAACATGTACTAGAATAGGGAGAAAAATGATGTTAAAATGATTTTTCACTCCATTATTAACGGTCACATCAGAGTTTCAGCACAACGAACACCACTGGAATAGTAAAATATGTCAAACAAGAGAACTTGAAGATTTCGACTCGCTCGCTGGATTCCGTGCCGACTGGTTGTGCTCTTGCAATTTCCGACGACAGTGCAGATCTGGCCGACTGGGCTTGTCCTACGCCACCTCCTGACGCCGGTCCCCGACGAAGACGACAGCGTAGCTCTGGCCGACTGGATTAGCCCTACACTCTAAGGCAAAATTACCCGAAAAAGGAGTAACGGAGCCCAATAGGCACGCGCGATGAACGGATAGACCATTGAGGAGCAGCCACAGAGGAAAGCGTGCCGCGCGAAACCACTTACTCTCCAAACACGCTCCAAATGGATGAACCGCCCGGGTATTGCAGGCCGCGCGAAAAGCCTTGCCAAGGTGACCAGCCCTCCCTCTCCTGCTCTGCTGGCTCAGTCTTTCCCCGTATTTTGCCGGCGACGGTTTGCGTTGCGTCGCTCTCGGAGTGCTCGACCACGGCCGCCTGGATTCGACGATCTAAAAACTACGACGTACCTGGTGCTTGTCTGTATGTTTGGATGAATGTGGGCTGCTGCCTTTGTGTTTCGCTGCACCCATGAAGTCTGGAGCAAGTCTCCACACGTCACCACGCCGCGCCGTATATCTCTGGCTTCAAGATAGTCACGACCAACACACGATAGCAACAGTTGGGAAGGCCAATATGGCGGACGATAAGACAACAGGCCTATCGGATATATACTTCAGTCTGACTCAGGGCAGAAAACAGCGCTGGAGTCTAAGGCAAGTAGGTTATCATTCTTTATTCTACTCTACTTGTCGCGTGTGCGATACGGATCGCGCTTGTTGGCAACGGGCTCGGTCGTGTTGTATATCGCACGCACGAAATGCATCGCGAAGGTCAGCTTCGGCGTCTGCAGTACGCCTGTGCTTTGCGACCGCCTGGAAATTGGCCGCCATTGCAGTCGGCCTCCCGTACGCTCGCTCGTCGAGTGCTCGCCTGTGTTCGCCGCCGCGATGAGCTCCGGGCTGACGATATTGGGCTGAGACCTCGTTGCGAGTTCGGAGTAGTCGAAAACACGTTGCGGGTTCTCGTAAAGAGCTTGGTTGTAGTACGTAGCGTGCTGTAAGTGCAGCAGCACGGGCTGGCGGGGCTTTCGCTAGCGTCGGAACTCAATGAAAATTGGTCGCCATTACAGTTGGCTTTCCCGTCAGTCGGTCGCAAGCAGCTCGGCGCCGTCTGTTGGTCGCGGCGGCAGACTCGCGTTTGCGCGCTGCACTCGCTCGAGTTTGTGGATAAGGGCCGCATTACCGTCGATTTCGTCGGCGCTAGCTCTAAACCAGCTCGGCGCTGTTCGTGGTGGCGGCCAACCGTATGCTCGCTCTCCTGTTCGAAGTTCGCTGGCGGCAGACACTCCGCGTGCAGCGCCGCGTTTGGTCTTGCGTTCGCTTGCTCGAGCTGAACGACGTCGCTCGCTTAGGACTCGCCGACTTGTTAGCGTCACGGTGGTTCGCTGAGTCGTGGTTGTGGCCGCCGCTCCTAAGCTGTTGCGCTATGGGGATCGAAATGAGTCTTTGACGATGTGTGACATAATGGTGAAATTATTAGCATATGTCATAACGCCCGTATGATTTCATTTCACCTTGCACGTATTTCTCATATGCATTTGCATTCATCCTCTGTCACGTGTGACTCACTATTTTACATACTTATTGTGCAGCCGTGGGCACACATCGTGCTGAAGACTGTGCGCTGGCGTCTGCAATGCCTGTCATCCATCTCTTTCGTCAGAGCAGCTTCAGAAGGACTGTGCGAGATGTGAAGGTAAAGTTGTTCGTGTGTCATATTTTAGCGCCTGTTTTTATATTAACGTGCACGTACTTGTCATATGCGTGCATCTTCATCTTCTGTCACGTGTGTCTAACTATTTTTACTATATTATTGTACGTGCAGCCGTGGGAACACAACAGGCAGAAGGCTGCGTGCGCTGGCGTCTGCAATGCCTGTCATCTATCACATCCATCGGAGAAGCTCCACAAGGAGTGAACAAGATGTTACAACGAGACTGGACTTGTACACTTCACCGTGAATTCACTTGGCAGAATGGAGAAACTTCATGTGTATGTAGAAAAATGACACATTTCGATGTCTCACTTTTGTCTTTCGTTGTTGCCGTGACTGCGAAAGCAGTTACTATTAGGTGGCTAAATAATTTTTCGCGTGTTCTTTTCTGCGCAATTTGTTGCTCACTGTGCAGAAAAACAGGCGAAAAAAGTATTGGGCCTGGCGGAAAATAAACAAAAAACAATGTTCGAACTGGGGACAAAAGTTCATCCGATTGGAGTATTTGAGTGGATCAACCGTTCGTACGGCAAGGTGCAACTGTGAGGACTAACGGTTGACCGGTAAGGTGCAAATGTGGGGATTAACAGTTGCTCTATAAGGTGAAAATGTGAGGACTAAATGTTAGTACTTTGAGGTGAACTGCGGGACTAACGGTTACTCACTATGGTGTAAGTGTAAGTAAGAGCTCAAGGAACTGTGTGTCCCTTGAGCTCATCTGTGGGGACTAACTGTTAAACCCGGTGCCGTTAGTCCTAAAATGAATTAATGCTTGTGGCAGCCCCATTAGTCCTCAAAAGGACGAACCACACACCCTTTTAACACCCTTTTGCCTTAGAGTGTCACGCAACCTCCTGTCGCCGACAAGAGCTCTCGCCAGTGGTTTTCCGTCCTTGGACTCCTGCAACCGTGTCCCTCTTTCCTGTCTTCTTACTTCCGTCTCTCGCTGTCTTTACGCCACGCTTTCTCCTTCCTCTCTCTATATCTCTTTACATTTTATTCCTACCCTTTTAATTCCTTCTCTCCCCCATCCTTCGTACCTACTGTTGAGGCGTCCTCCCCCTGAGAGACAGTTATGGGGATCACTTTTCTCTTTTTTCCTTTTAAAGTCACTCCCTTCCCCGAACTTGAAAGTTTTATTTTTATTTACAGAGATCTTGTCTGGCAGCTTACCCTAACTGTTCCTTTTGCTATAGTATAGATGAGACAACGGAACATTATCTTATTTCTTGCGACACATACTCTACCTTACGGGAGAATGCTTTCGGTGCCGTTTGCCGACTCCTTAGACTAGATCTAAATGCACCAAATGTGCTTTCGTTTGGGCCTTTATCCCTTTGACACAATGACGGGAAGATTGCCGATGTCTGAAAATTTATTAGATGTTCAAATAGATTGTAGAACCAACTGATTCTCCTATTTTATAACTTGCGTTTTTTTAACTCCTAATTATTCTTTCTTGAATTACCCAGCTCAAAGTTACTATCTAATTTTACTCATCTTTTGGTTGTATTTGCAAATTTGTTACATTATTGCTTCTTTAATATTTAAATAGACAGCAATTATTCTAATAATTAAAAATTTATTTTTGAAACTACCCGGTTCTTGGCCAATCCCCCAGCGTGGGTGTGTCCCACTGTTCAAAGTTCTACTCTACTCTACTCCAGCCCACAACCCCAACGTCGTTCGCCACGCCCTTCGGATTTACAATATGCTTCACCGCACAATGCTTTAGCTTTGCGGCAAAGCCGACTTTTAAAACACGCTACGGCGCGTGAGCGGCGGCGGCCGTTATTCGGACACGCAATTCGAATGAGAAGTTTAGATTCGCAAGAGTTTCAGCATCTAAAGCTTCAGGTGTAATACACTGGCTCCATGAGGCTCGCGGCGGTCCCGTGAAATCGTCCGAGTTTTCTAGCATGCGCGCGCAAGCGGTATGGGCAAACGCGGCTAAGGCAGATATAAAACGAGCCGGCCATTTCCGATGCTCGGAAAGTGCAGAGGATAACGTCACACCGCGTGTGAGGCATTCTGTTACGGCCCTTCAAGCAGATTTTGTGCTCATCTTTGTTGCTGAACTTTTAGCGATCATTTTAACACTCCGCAAATTAACAGCACCAACAAGTTCTGCAGTAATATTGACGGATTCCTTTATCGTCGGGTGAAGAAGAGTTGGGGGGGGGGGGCTGCGTCATTAAATCAGCAACTTGGAACTTGGACTGTAAGGGCGCGCTTGCTGGCGCCAACAAACGAGTTATATCGGCAGACATTAGCCAACTACCCGATTACTTCACGGTCAGACCAGAGAGTACTAAAATAGCTTCGCTCTTCTATGGAGCAGCCGTATTCCCATGGATACACCACCAGCGTACTGAAGAGTTATACGTGAGACCGGATCATAAAGAGTTAGCTGACAGCCTTACTTTGTATAGCATTCCAGTTTGTTGCTATGGCATTCACTGCTTCGCCTTTGAGGCGAGACTGCTTGATTCGCACCGTCACCATTGTCACTATAGTGTACTAGAATATTCTAGTACACTATAACGTCACGGAGGGCGCGTCGGGCCGGGCGGCGATGATGATGATTATGGTGATCGTGATTGTGTGGGCTCACTTGTTCTCGCCACGTCGCGGGTGACAGCCCATGAAGGCACTAAAAAGACCACGCGAGAGCAGTTTTGGCGCAATAATGCGTTTCGAAGCAGGGCGGTGCAGCAGGAGTGGTTTGGAGCAGCATGGTGAGTCATTAATGAGAAATAAACGAAGTAAAGCAAACGTAAAATATCGAAAAACGAGAGGTGTATTAGATTTAGGTACAAATGAGGTTGGGCGTGTACCAGCAACATCTACGGGCAACGTTACAGTAATGGAAGTTAGGCAGGCAAGAACTATAAGAATAAGAGCTAAGAGGCTTGACACCAGATAAATCTGAAAATTAGAAAGAAAAAAAAACACACAACCAGGAAATGAAAAAGCCGATCAAACACACGAAGATTACTTTACTGCCCTAGTGAAGTAATTAAGAAACAGAATACAGTGCGATACGCCAAGCAACGATGCCAGGCCAGATGCAGCAAGGCGTGACGCAAGAATTTGTGAGAAAATACAGGTTTTCAGGATATAGATTACCACAGGCAGACAATCCAAAGGTAATTCACACCTTGATCACTGGAGCTGAGGTTGTAGTGCTCATATAAAAAAAAAAAACAACTGGCATTATACTCGTACAGCAACACAACAACACGTTTGAGTACAAAAAAAAAAATGAACGTAAAACCAAGTTTGAAGCCTCCACTCATTAAACTAAAATTGTCAAAATTATCGCAGACACGCGGCCCGAGTGATTAGATATGTTCAGGCATGGCCGCTACGCTTTTTTAATCCAGCGGCCGTAGTTCAGGCGAACTTTGGATATAGAACCGAACCCTGCTTTCGCAGACACCGATATGCTTGGTGGGGTCAGTGAGTTGCGGCAGCAATCCTTGCTGATACCTCTTTGATTCTCCGGAGTAGACGTCTGGCCTGTATGTTGTAGGATATGGGAGCCACGTCGACCACTGTTGTCTTCAGAATGATTTCGTTCTGAAACGACAACAACGGCATGTGATGGTAAGATCGCGATCGGCGCTTTAAAGTTTATTGTGTAGCTTTCGGTTCAGGCGTGCGTGGCTATTCCTCCACGGGATGTGTGCACTAGACGTCACCAGAAATATACAGACTTGAATGCGCAGACTGCTTTAGGGATTGATTTTAATTCCACCATAATGGGCTGTCAACATTGCCGTTTCCTAACTGAACCAAGAGCTCCACGATAGAAACATACTGCCAAAAAGGGTTAGGTTTCAACACTAGACGTTTCATGACTTTCTTGATTCCATGCCACGACGTATAAAAATAAGTGAACATTCGTTTAACATCCAAAAATGGCGGCGGCCATGTGCCTTATACAACACCTTAGTTAGAAAAGGTGACTGCGGTTGCTGTCACGCTATAACTGAAAGTGGTCCTGTAGTATCTTTATGTAAGCGTCGACTGGCCAGGGAATGCTATACGCAGCCGATGCTCGAATTATGTGGATTGATGAAATTATGAAGTTTGTAGCAATGAAATGGAACTCGTGGAAATCAGGGTATATTGGAGACCATCCGGTGAGACTAACGTGGACATATAAGATGATGACAGTGACTATGAGCACACATGGGTACCCTCTCTATCGAATCGTGATGTTTTCATTCTTAATACCGGGACGGTTCAGCGGTAATTATACGGCGGCACATTTACATATTACTGAACGTTCTGCGAGTCATTACTATGTTTCTACACCACTTCTTATGTACACAATCCATATAGAGCCCATACATTTTCCGTACATCTGCCATACATTCCTGTGAAGATATTAGGGAAACATATGGAATTATTCGATGGGCGCGTACGGAACTTTTGAGTTCCTTATATGTCATTCGATAATTGTATGCCAGATATGCGCAAATTACGATAACTATATGCCAGATAACCGCTCAAGAGCGTGATGACGACGTCGCTTGAAGTTAAATGGCTCACAGTGGCTAAATCAAAGATCCATTAGCACACTCACTGTCATCGGTCAGCAGGCCCTCGCCGATGACGCACCTAGCATCGTGATAGGCCGAACAAATTCATCTTGCGAACTTGTAAGGAGTGAGGCATTATTGTCAACACAGTTCCACGAGCTCGACTGTAAGTGCGCGAAACTGCCTCTGCAGTCAAGATTATCGTCTAAAGGATCTCTGTGCAGGCGTATACAACAGCAAAAATTGGTGAGAACCGTTGTTACTGCCTCTCACATTGTAGGCTTTCTTTGCCACGCGCAGCCTGAAGATAAACCTCTTGAAGGTGGCATCCCACAGGGCTTCTTCGAAGTCATAGTTACTCTGTAATAAAGGAGCAGCACGAAGTCAGTAAAGGCGAACTTGGTGCTGTCACGCTCAGCAGTGTCAAACATGGTAGCGCTACACGCCGAATACGTGCAAAAGAATAATGAGAGAAATAAATAAATGATAATAATAATACATAAACGTTAAAAAATAATAAGACAACAACAGTCAACCACCTCCGGTTCGCGAACACCAACAAAATGACGAAGCTGGTGGCGTTTCCTTCGTCCTGCTAATGCATTTAATTGTTTCGCAATTATTTCATATGTGTTGTATCACTGATTTTTGTTAAGTTCTCTTTGTTAAGCTAACAGGTCGTAGTATTTCGCAACCACGTTTTATAATCACAAAGTGCATGGTGGCAGTGCATGGTGTGACTATGAAAACGCGCACGCCATTCATTGATTGATTCATTGACTGATTGATTGATTTATCCTTTTAACCTGGCGCAACCCACCATGGGGGATAGGACATGAAACGAGCGGTGCCTTGCTAGATAAAAAAATTGTTCATAATGTCAAAATGTTTAGCAATAGATAGTTTTGGAATAACTTGCTGCATTAATTCACAAGAAAGAATATTAACGTTCTTTTTAAAGAATATGCTTGACATTAGAAATAAATTCGTTTGAAAAATAAAAAAAAGAATATGGATATTTGTTGGGCTGACTGTTGCCTCGCTTCTTTTTAATGGATGTTGCGTGCAGTGGGATTTGTCAATGCCTGTGGCGCTTACGCGCTTACGATGTTAATAGTTTTCTAATAGGTCACACAGATTTCTGCGGCACATGCCCATTTGTTGAACTGTGGCCTCAATTTTAGAGGACTATAGTGGCGAGTGCTGGGACTCGGCGAATGTCCGTGGCGAACACCAGTTTATGATGACCCCAGAGTCATGGGAGTCCCTCTTACGTGCCTCCGAGCTAGAAGACCAACGCCGGCTCATCCAGCGCGCGGTGGAGGCTGCGGTATCCCAAGGGATCTCCGCCGACCTCCATCTGAAATAACGCAACCAGTCTCTGTGCTGGTCCCCTCCATTTTTTCTTATTTTTTTTTCTAGGAGAAATAAAAATACTACCCCCACCCACAAGCGTTACCAATCCTGGTACATGAAACAGTTCGAACAAGGATAGCTCCGCTGTTGATAGCAATCCCGCACACCTCCCTCCACCTTTCGGTATGCCCAGCGTTGGTAATGACGTCGCCAATATGGCCATGCCAGTAGCAGAAAGAAGCTGTTTGTCAGCCTGCAGGTACACGTTCTCTCTGCTTTTTCTCCTCGCACAGTGAGGAGGAGCATTCGGCCAGAAGAGAAGGCGAGCAAACGAACAGTGCGTAGCGAAATGGAAAGGACGAAACTACAGCGAGGGCCGCATTTCCACAACCAAACGCATGCAACTTTGCCATTACGAAACCACTTCGAAAAATTCTCGCGGCCTGATGTTCTTTTTATATAGATTGGATCACAGCTGCAGCACCGCGACTAAGTTGAACCTCTGGGTGGTTCAAGCGCCCTTTAGCCCAACGAGGTTTCTAATACATCGCAAAAAAGACAGCACATATGCTTAGCAGAATTTTATTTAGTTTCTGATGGACCGTACAGCAACTGTGGGCATCTGGGACATCCGCAGCAAAAGCTTCTAACTACCTAAAAGAGACATGGTTATGTCACCGCTACTGTTCAACGTGGCCATGATCAATCTGCCTAAGGTTCTCGATAAAATACCAGATGTACGGCACGCGATGTACACTGACATCATGCTCTGGACCAAGGCTTCGAGCATCGGGAGACAAGAGAGCTGCTTACAAGATTCCGTAAACACCATCGAAAGGTATCTCCGACACTGCGGCCTCAACTGTGCCCCGAGAAGCCTGAGCACCTTGTACTCAAAACAAGGACGAGAGGCAGGCCTCCCATATACGAAGAGCCCGACCCTAGTGTCACCCTCAATGGGACAATTATTCCAAAAGTTGATACGCTACGGTTGCTCGGACTTCACATACACAAAGATGGATTGAGAGCGGCCACCATACCGAGACTCCAAAGAAGTCTCTCGCAGCTCACGCACCTCGTCAAGGGTATCGCAAACCAACGCAATGGGCTAAAAGAACACGACACCCTATGAATAATGCAAGCTCTACTCACCATGCCGCATCACGTACGGCACGCCAAACCGCAGTTTAAAAACTGCGGAAATAGAAACACTTGGTATTATGATAAGAACGGCAACAAAAGCCACCTTGCGTCTACCACCCATGGCTTCTAATTCAAGACTTCTTAAGATGGGTGTCCACAACACGTGGCTAGAGCTCGCCAAGGCTCACAAGAACAGCCAGCTGGAACGACTCAAGCTCAAGCCCACTGGGAAGTCGGTACTCCGGTATCTCAACTACAGCGAATCATACATTGCGGATGCAGACCGGAAAAAGCACATCCCGGTGGACGTTCGAGAGTCCCTGTCCATCGTGCCTATCCTACGCAACATGCACGCCACATTTCACAAGGTTAGACGAAAAGCTAGACCAGAAGCTTTTCAACGAAAGCTCAAACAAGGCCCGGACGCCCGCTATACCGACGCGGCCAAGTATCCCCGTAGAAACACGTATGCTATCAGCGTCGTAGACTCTTAAGGCCAAGAGTTAGCGTCGACCACAGTCAAGGCACGTAACTCAGACGCAGCGGAAGAAGCGGCAATCGCTCTCGCCACCACCAGATGTAAAGACGACGCTGTGATCTTCACTGACTCGCAAGCCGCTTGCCGGAATTCTGCGAAGGGCCGCGTCTCAGCCGACGCAATTAACATCCTGCAACGGCGAAGCTCTCCACTTCCATATACTTGCGTAATCTGGGTTCATGGACACGAGGGTCTACAAAGAAATGAAGCGGCCCATGCCGCTACCCGTGAGCACGTGAACCGGGCTGCCCTGGGAGCAAAGGATACCCGATCCGTGGCTGCAGAGATGGAGGTAGTAGAAAACACCTACTTGTCGCTACTTCAACACTACAAACTGGAGCGACAGGTGTACCCTCCACCCCATCCAAGACTAATCAGAGAAGATAGCGTCGTGATCTTCAGACGCCTGCAAAGCAACACTTACAAACCTGGCATATAAATGCACCACCTCTACCCATCGACACATGGCTACATGTACCCCCTCTGCAGCGTACCGGACACCCTGGCACACTTGCTGCTGGAATGCCAGTGCTATGCAAAACACGACATGCAACTGGAGCGGGACCAAGCACCATTAATAAATGACGACCACCTAATGGAAACGTGGGAGGTCAAGCTCATCCTCGAGGACCTGGAAGACCAGCGACAACTCTTCGCCAGGGCCAAGAGGGCAGCCGAAGCCAGAGGGTTCCTGGAATAGAGAACCCTTCCACCATAGGGTGATGACGGGCCTCGCTCGGAACACTGTTTCTAAATAAACGTTTATTTCTCTCTCTTGCGGCACCGGTATTTAGCAGTGGGTGCAGCCCGGTGCTGCACTGAAGCCATTCAAAATTAGTTACGTGTTCGTGCTTTTAATGGTCACAGTGTTTGTTTCACGGACGGACGAACGGACGGGCGGACTGACGGACGTTTCGCCCCACTCATTATCATTCACTCCATAGATAAGCTGTGATTTTTTTTTTGCTATCTATGCCACTGTCACTATCGAAATTTGTAACCCACAAAAGCTAGCAGTTCCATGCACGTATACAGCCGATGAGAGTCGCTGGGAAGATTTCAAGCAGTACGACTGTGCCCGCGCAGTCCCCGACGACAGCGCAGCTCCCGCCGACTGGTTCGCCGTCCGCGGTCTCCTGACGCCGTGAAGCTCTCGCTGAGTAGTATCCCGTTCTTGGACTTTTTTGGACCGGCTTCCAACTTTCCAATCTCATTTCTTTTTCCGTCGCTTGCCTTCTCTATCTCTTCATCCATTTCTTCTATATTTTTTTCATCTCTCTTCCTCCCGCCCCCCTCCCTTCATCTCTACAAGGCACTGCGTTGCGTCGCCCAACAAGCAGACAGAAATTAGGTGCCTTTTCCCTCTTATCAAGAACCACATCTATCCCAGCTGACGAGAAAAATGGGATGCAAACGACAATGCGCTTCGATCTCGGTGGTGGCTTTTACGAAGGCGGTAGGGTGGGGTGCGGGTGGGAAGAGCGTTTGCTGCGTTCGGAGAGTGAGCGTGCGGCGAGCACGCCACAGCGCGCGCCATCTGCCGGGAGTGCGCACATGTCGTCTTGCTCGGCGCACTCGCCAGGTGCAGGGAGCTTTTACGGCGAGCCTAAGGAGCCTAAAAGCCCGCATGATGACAGAGCACCATGAACAAATGAATATAGAGAACCACATCAATCGAGGCTCTGAACGTGTACTTACAGGGCTGGATGCCTCGTACATTTTTCCCAGCTCTTCTGCAGACACTCCCACCAACTTTTCAACTTGTTCCCCAAAGCAGGCTATTTTTTGGCAACCACTGAAATCTGCAATCGCCGATCTCCCCTGCAAGCGCAATAATAAAAAAAAAGTTTAACATATTTAGCGCGTGTTCTCAAATCTTCACTGTTTCACGTGTGAGCGAAATATCGTTAAATCAAAGCTGGGAGCGTCCTGTTCGTTCGGAAAGAAAATGTGGCATAAGACCAATACCACGATTCTATTCCCGTCTACAAAAGAAAGTCCGACGTACCAATCAATCGTTATAGCGCGAAAGCAGAACGACGACGAAGGGACAAAAGAAGAGGTCATTTTTGCTCTCGCGCTATAACAATCATCATGTATTAACAACTAGCTGAAACCGCCACGCTTCTCACGTATACCAAACAGCCTTGCCTCTACGATTAGATCAGTGCATAGTTCTTTTATATTTTTCCTTCCAATTTGACGCTGTAGATTTACTGTATATGGCTCTATGTAATGTACAGCAGTTTTATGATGCTGTGCCGTCTGTCGGTCTCGAGATATCGCCGGCGCAATCGACACGTAGAAGCACTTCCACGCCTGGCAACCACACAACAACAAATTAATAATAATAATAATAATAATAATAATAATAATAATAATAAGGAACTGCTAGCACTGTGGTGGGTAGGTCCTTACCCAGTAATTCGCTGCTACGGGCGGAGAGCGAACGAGTAGGCGATGACGCATTTTCCTTGTACCAACTGGTTAGTGCTTGGGTCTCCGGAATGTCTGGATTGACGTGCAGGGCTCCCGAGAAAAGCATGGAGAGAGATATGTCACCTGCGAGAGTTTGCAGTAAAAAAATGCTTATAGACTAGTCTATTACCACTATACTGTATGCGGTTACAACCTAAGAAAAAAAAACATGTCACCTATATCAGCAGTCATAGTTGTATCTCTCACGAAGAGAATATACATCTCGTCAAGTATTTCCCTCACCCCTCCCTCTCTCGAGTGTTTCGAATAAACCTTTCTTATACAAAAACGTTTGTGTCGCTGATGTTAGGTCGGAAACGGGGTAGATTTAGTCAGATATTCTGACACTTGTCAGAAGCTCTGACACGTTAACACCATGCACTCAGCCAAACGTGTAACGTTTTAGGAAGTCACGAAGAAGCCATGAACGTTTGAAGATACCCTGAAATCACTCATGTAATTTTGTGAGTGCCTAAGCAAACGGCAACACCAAATCATTCACTTCGCAATTTAAGCAACGTACATTGCAGCAGGACATCATATGCATATCCCCATTCTCACTGCTTTGTCCCCTCAGCTCATCGAACACCCAGCCGTCAATCCGCCAAGGAGGAAGTGCCAGACACCGTTCGCGCCACGTCGGCAAGACAGTTGCGTAGATTGAGAACGATCCACTTGAGTAGCAGAGCGTTCGCAGCTCTGCTTCAAGGAAAGAATAAGTTTCGCGGCTGATTCTGCGCAACTGGGGGAGAGTAATGCAGAATTACTGTGCTCTTGCACTACTTCCTCCATACGCCTGTGAGTGTACGCTACCGGCATTCGCTTGAGCACGGCCGCTCGTAAGGCCCGTGGCAACGCCGTGCACGAAAAGGCAAGAAAACAGTGACAGCTTACCATTGTAACGGGTAACGTGCACTCCTTTCACAGCGATGACAGGGTTACCCGCACTGTCAAACTTCTCCGCCTGTGTTTAAATTGAAAGAGGTTATTGTGCTGTACACTTACGGCAAAGTCTTATTTTGCCCGAAAGCTTCAAAAAGGCCAACTCCGGCGATTTTTCGAGGTCAGTGGATCTCAATGAAATTCACTGGGTACGTTCATTTGCACGTTTGGGCCATTCATGCCAAATTTCAGGCCTTAGAGTTTCGAAGATTCTTTTCAAATGAATTTTATAGCTTGCCGCGAAACGCTCACCTCGCTTGCCAGAATTAATGGCAACATTGTGTGTGTGAAGTCGAGTTTTGCCTGGCGGGAGTGACAAACTGATGTGTCACTGCAGCGTCTGCTTGTCTGTTATGGATTGTGTGGGTTAGGCCGGCGCTTCCTTGGTTTAGCGTGCGATTTTCTTTTCAGTATTGGTAGGCGTGCGATAGGTGCCAAGTGGTGTTGCATTGTGAGACACACACAATTCGCCCTATATACACCATAACAGCGTAAGCATTTTAGCCGATCGCCGCGGACGGCATGTACAGGTACTGCCATCTGGCGGGCATTATGTGCAATCAGGCAGGTTCCGGCAGCGTCAGGAAAATCTTTACGTCACACGTAAAGCGCACTTGGCTTGGTTTCGGTTTCGGCATTGCGGTTTTTCACCAATTAAAATTATTTTCAGATTTTTTGAGCATTTGAATTATCGGGTGCGTGAGAAGAGTGTCTAAGGAACATAAAAGCACCATTATCCTGACATGGTCAAAAAATCACCGGAGTTGGCCTTTAAGGCCTGACCCTTGCAGCGCGTCAGAGCGGGCTTTCCTCACGGGGCACCGCACCATCTCTCAGAGGTGCGTGGCTACACGAAGCCACGCGCCCGCTCTCTCCACAGAAAAAGGGCGAGGCGCCTAGACCTTCTGCATAGATAAAGGTGGAGGCGCCTAGTCAAAATTTTACGCGCTGACCTGCTGCAATGGGTGCGTGTGGTCAGGCCTTTAGCGCTAACAAATTACAGGATGCGCAAATGTGAACGATAAGTGGCGCCGTCTGACGGCGAATACATCAAACAAGCAAACACCTAACCATGAAGTGCATTGCTCGACATTGCTGGTGTCAATAGTTCGGAAGCGGCGTCAACAGGGACCTCTCGTATTGGTAAAACTTTTTGCTTCCGCAAGAACACTCGTCCAACACACATACGCACACACTCGCATAAAATATTTGTTGGAATGGTGAATACAATAACATTCGGAAGATGTCCTGGCCATGCTTAGATAACTCGGCACTCCAACCATGCAAGCGATCACATATACCCGGACGAAGGACGTGATACCCCTGCCTGTTAGCGCGCCCACTCGTTTGCCAGCCGTTCCTTGTTTTTTTTCTTCTTTCTTGACCTTACATACATACATACATACATACATACTATACTTTACTTAATGAATTAATTATTTATTGAGGATGACAGGCTTACAGCATGCTAAGTAAAGCTTAATACGACTCGCGTATTATCGCAGCAGCCGGAACTCAATCAAGGTTCTACAAGTACAGTTCAATCTTGACCTCTTCTGTATTTGCGCTCAGTGAGCGTGTTCCTTTCACTGCGTGTTGCTTAGTCGGAAGTCTACCGGTTGCTTCTTACGTCTTTAGAATCAGCCAGTTATCTTCTTCGCAAGAGTACGCGAATTTCAATCGAACTCCACAAGCCCAACTTGTTACCCTTTGTTGCATCTAGACACAATTCAATGAAGGCAGCATCGCGCACTGGCTGCCCATCACTGCCGTAACACGTTGCCCACTTACGCATGCGTGTGGCGCTCCCGTTCGCGGTCAGCATGAGTCACAGCACGGTGACCATGGACAAAGTGACTCAGACGCAGCGTGGCAGCGTCATCACAACAAAAATGATTAAAATAATGTTTTTTCGGCCAACTTAAATGACCAGTAAACAACTCCACAGTCCAAATTATTTTTAGATAACCACACTTGTGCAATATGAACCTGCTCTCACAAGAATTTTGCGAAAAAGTGCATAATGGTCAAGTTACAGGAGATAAAGTAATAATTTCGGCTGCTTTCGCCTTCTCCTTCAGGCTGGCCACCCTTCTCTGCCGCGACGAGGGGGATAAACATAGTCCAACGTTTCGCAGTAACTCGTCTCCGCGACTATGCTTACAGCATGCAACACCGTAGCAGTCCATATCTGTACTGTATCTCAAAGTCGCACCTGATCACCCCAGAGCGTGAGGGAGACGTCCGTACGGCTTTCATCCACTAGGAGTACGTCTCGCTTCTTGAGGTCCTCATTGGTGGAACGCTTCTTCACCGTCCTCACAACGTCTGTCCACGAGCAGATCCCAATTACGTCTGCAAGTGCCAGAGTAAGCATCATGCATATCATTAGGCCTATAGCGCCATTCGGTACAACAACCGTGCATTTTCGGAAATTTGAGATGGGTAGAGCACCTGTGGCAGCGCAACACCTTGGCTCAAGGCACCGTCTCTCATGTATACGTTGTCTTTTGGCTAACATGCATTAAAGCTACGGCAGATACTACAACTTGTGGGAATCGGTTTCATGCCAATATGTCGGCGAGTGATTGTTGAATGCAACATTTCTTAGCGAACTGCAGAGACACTTTGAGCGTTTCTATTTAAGCATATATCTATATATCCACCTACGTCTGGATGCTCTCGTGATCACCCCCTCAACTTGGAATAAGCTAAAATTGGTATGGGAGGGTATACGATGGTTTGATGAATACGTCTCGCTGGTAAAGATATGAATAATGGCGCCATCTCGTCGCGTACGTCGACCGTCAAACCTTTTCCGCCAAACATGTGGCACATACCCGCGGGCGGGTATGTGCCACAGGTGACTGACAGTTCATATCTACTCAGGCGGCGCTGACTGACGTTCTCACGTTCAATGCACATAGATACCTCATAACGTTAATGCGTTATTCAAAGCATGCGTCGAACACGTTATTCGAAGGTTGCAGATTTGGTCCCTGCCCATGTCCAGTTATCGTTTCATCCACTTCTCTATCCTCATATTTACATTACGATTACCTCATATAACATCGCCTATACTTTTCTTGACATGATTGTAGGTTAAATCTCATTAATATTGTGCTAACAGAGAAAACGAGCCCTTCAGTGAACACTTCTTTTCTTTATTTTGAAAACACACTGGGTAATTTTAAAGTGCGGGCGTTAAGACAATGTTGACATCGGCAGCGTTGTAACCCGACAAATGCTAAGAATAAGTGTCAGGGTGCCAGCATCAATCGAACTCCAGCATTCTGCGTGGCAATGAAGTATTCTGCCACGTGGTCACGCCGGTTATCGAAACTACTTTTTCAAATACAAATATAATGTTCGTGAAACGCCAATTGTACGAGTGCTTGACATCTAATTTTTTAAACATTACATATGTACTCCTCCGATGCAGCCGTGACGACGTGTTAACGCCGATTTCAGTTCAGCTCCATCCACTGAAACTCGTGCAGTGTCAAGGGCTACCATCCTGGCGAGCAAAAATGCTACATATCGGCTTACCGCTTCTAGACGATACCAATGTTGCTGTTGGCATGGTTACGCAATTGTAAACAACTGGTTATACAAAACATATGCGACCGTTCAACATATGTCTCTGCGTAGTAAAACCTTTGCACATATCTTTAGCGTCATTTTGTAACGTTTCATGATTGGAAAAAAAAATCGCAACAGACATAGGTGGAGAGTTTTGGTTTTGATATGCCAGGAAGGGGTGGGGCACCCGAACTGCTTTCACATCTCTCTCTCTCTCTCTCTCTCTCTCTCTCTCTATATATATATATATATATATATATATATATATATATATATATATATATATATATTGTAACGACGAGAAATAAGACACAACGCCTTTGCTGCAGGCCGGCTGTTCTTATTCTGCTTCCTCTTCCTCCGCTTCCGTCCTAGCATGCGAGTCTGTGCCAGAGAGAGTTCCAGTTTCGGTTTTCGTCATTACACTCGGCCATGACTGCTAGCATTGTCGTTGGGCCAAACGACAATGTTCTGGTAGGTAAGGCTAGCTGCAGCAGTTGACAGTGCTTCAGGTGGGCGAGGTTGGCTACATCGTCGTGGTCGGTCTCGACCACGCTGGAAGTTTGTCGAAATTGGCTCCGGCGGCCGACACTGGCTATGTCGTCTGGGTCGTTCACCGTGTCGTGATGGAGACTGGGTCCTGTGCGCGCGCGGAGCTGGCGGTAAAGTTTTTGGTGGGTGGGCTTGACTTTGTCGCCGTGGTCGAACTCGTCCATGATGCAACGTTTCCTGACAACTCGTAGAATGCAGTTCAGGTGGACGGCCCTGACTGTTCCGGCAAGGTCGCAGAGTAACCTGGAAACGCTGGTGTTTGTCCCACCGTCGCTGGTGGACTGAACTGCAGCGGGATGCCCTGCGAGGCAGCCATGATGACGTTTGGGCCATTTCTTGAAATGAGATGGGACGCAGCTCATGGTTGGGCATAAATACCACAGCAGAACTCCCAGACGTAGTCGAGCCGGTATGCTGGGAGGAAACAGCAGGAGGGCTGGTCCTCGGCAAGTTCTCGATGGCAGTGGCCTCAGCGTAGCTAGGTATCTGGGCTTTCTCGAAGGAAACGTTCCTTGGTAGCCGAGTGTCTGCGTGGCTGAGCATGATCGTGGTCTGGTAGGGTTCAGTTGTGTCTAATACAATAGGATTGAGTGCCTCGATGTCCTCAGACGACGAGCGCGAGGGCCGTATCTCCGGACGAAGGTCTGGTGGCGGTATTTTCAGGTCGAATACCGATGCAGAGTCCGGGACCTGTAGTGTAGGATTCCAGCCACTTCGGTCAGGGTCAGCAGCAGGGAACTCCTGGCAGCATTCCGTTGACGAGCTGCAACGAACGATTGCAGCCTCGAGGCGGGGCGCTGCCTGGGCTCCATCCTCGGCCTCGGGGAAGATCGAGCTGGACTTGCTGGAGTCACAGGAAATCCGTCCGAAAGCGGCAATCAGGGCTGCACTCCATTCTGCCCAGGACTGCTGCCTGACGCCTTCGTACCTGTGCCATGCTGCGGCAGCATCCCGCAGGCGATCTATGGCCATGTCCCACTTCTGCTCTTCAGTCGTTCCGAGAGCGTTGACGGTTGCCACCCATTCCTCGGCGTCGTCCTGGAAGCCGCGAAATTCCGGTAGCGCGAAGGAAATCGGCGATGGCGGGACGGCGGGCAGAACTCCGAAATGTGCCCCCGCCAAGCAGTTCACTTGCTCCGATACCTCCGCGAGAGAACGCCGGAGATTGCGACGGTTCTCGGGCGAGCTTACCTCGAAGTTTTGTGCGGCGGCCGCAGCCAACATGGCATTGAGTGCGCACAATGTTGGCAAGATGGCAGGACATAGCTTGGAACTCGACGCTATGAGGGCGTTGGTCGTGACACGGAGTTGCGCGATGGTATGCTGCAGCTCCGCTGCGCTGTCGTGTGATCCGCACGAAGAGCCAAGGCCCGCCTCTGCGGAGGATACAGTGACTGCGGTATTCGAGGTGGTACAATTCTTGACCAAGGACGCGTGGACGGCGTCCCTTGGAAATCCAGCTGTGGTCGGATTCGTGGACATGGGTTCCAGGGCGCTGGAAGCGTCAACGACGTTCCCAGGCAAGCGGAACCCGTGTGATGAGTTGTGACCTGGTACTGTGGCGTAGATGAAGCGGTCTTGCGCCGCCGGGTAGGCCTCGACGCCGTACACGGTGGGTGCTTGAAGCGCCGACAGGTTGCCAGGTATGGAGGAGGCATGTACGCCATCCCTAGGTGAGAGAGGCCCGTGCGCATGGTTGCCGCGACGTGTCGCGTCCCAGGACAAGTTTCCCGGAACCACAACGGAGGCCTGGACGCCATCCGTCGGTGCTGGGATCGATGCTGGCCGCGACGGACGCCTTGCGGGTCCCATCAGCGAAGAAGCGTGACGGCGAGGAGGCCTTGACGCCGTCCCCGAACGGTGGTGTCAGTAAACAGCTGCCGAGGAGGGCTTGACGCCGTCCTCAAGCGACGCTTACCGCGGCTGCACGTCGGCGGGCGTTCTGGATGACGAAACCGAGACGTAAGCCGTTTTCTTCGCCGACTGCGCCATTGTAACGACGAGAAATAAGACACAACGCCTTTGCTGCAGGCCGGCTGTTCTTATTCTGCTTCCTCTTCCTCCGCTTCCGTCCTAGCATGCGAGTCTGTGCCAGAGAGAGTTCCAGTTTCGGTTTTCGTCATTACAATATATATATATATATATATATATATACATACATACATACATACATACATATATGTGTGTGTGTGTGTGTGTGTGTGAATCTTACACCTCTTATATTGAGGATGTCCTTGCACTGTGCAAGTGCGTTAACACCGGCATGTCTCAGAACGACCAAATACGCCACATTATTAAAGGCATTAACACCGTCGCCTTTAACGCCCTCGCCACGCAAAATCATGCCACCACCCAGGACGTGATAACCATCTGTCAGCGACTTGACGAGCTTCAGTCTCTTCGCCTTTGCTACGATGCCACCGACGTTCGTTTGCCTGCACCCCTCGACTTGCGTGGGCTTATTCGCGACATCGTTCGTGAAGAGCTGCACGGGCGCTGCTCTTCCTGTGCTGCGGAAGTTACTTTCCTTTCTGAAAAAGATAGCTTCCGAGACCTGATTAAACAAGAAATCGCCTCCGCATCGCGTGCGACGTGTTCCAACAGTCCCTGTGTGCACCAGACGCGCACGTACGCCGAAGTTGCCGCGCTCTCTGCCACACCCACCGTTTCCGTGCCTACAACAGCGGACCATACGCCTGTGGCTTCGTTATCAGCGCCAGTGCGTGCACCACCTTACTACACACCTCAGCGCCCACCTCGACCAATCTGTTACTACTGCGGCTATCAAGGACATACCGCTCGGTTTTGTCGAAGGCGTCAACAAGACGAGCAACGCGGCTACGCTCCCGAAGAACATCGAAGCTTCCGTCCGACCATGAACTACTTACGGCCACCCTCCCGATCGTCCTAGTACCGTTCACCGTCACCTACTTACCATACGGACATGCCTGGGAATTCCCGTACGTCTCGCCGTAGGTCGCCTTCGCCAGGTCGCTGTTCAGTGTCGCCTCTACGGCCCGCCTCCCATTCCACGATTGCCCATGCGGAAAACTCCCCAATGCAGTTTTAGGAGGGGAAACTGCATCCCTTGGACAGCTAACAATTCCTCCAGAGCGGCCATCGAATTTGATAGTAGTGTTTGTAGAAGATGTACAAGTGATGATATCAAAGAGAATAAAGAGTCATTCGCTTGTCGCGCTCACAATATATATATATATATATATACCAGTGAACTACCACGGCGGCTATCCTCCCAGCCACTTCGTAGGGTATATATGTGAATTCAAACGTGGAAGCGTCACTCAGCGCCCTCATTAGCCATGGCGGCGAGTGTGGCACACTCTTTATGAGCCTGTATGGCGTCACGTAGCACGTGAACTTATTACCAGCTGGCAGCTCACCAATAGTCCCTCGTATACAACCTAAGGCACCAAGCCTGCCAGTACGAGACCCTCGTTAATGAATAAGGGAAAGAAGTGTATAATTAAGGGCTCGTTTTTGCGTGTTTTGACACCATATTAATGAAATATAACAGACAATAATACCAAGTAAAGTATAGGGGAAGCGATTTGATCGAATTGTAATGTAAATGCGAAGAAAAGAAAAGTGGGTGAAAAGATAACTTGCCGTGGGCAGTGTACACCTAGTGGGTCTCTTTTTTCTTTCTTCCTCTCCTGTCTTGTATTTACGTATTTGCAAATGCGCATTACTGTTCGAAACACTTGAATTTGTTACTGTTCAACCTGCTGTGACGTTCTGCGGACACTATTGCATAGTTATTGCAGCAATCTAGAGGTAGTCCTGTCCTTACTAGTTTTCAGCATATTATTCAATTTTTGTTTTGTTCAACTTTTTATGTGACACTTTAACTTGTGTTCCGCCTGCAATGACCTCGAATAGTATCGGCAGTACTGCTGAATAAAATAAATATAAATAAAATCGAGAGAAAAACTTATCGAAAGTATCAAGAAGATAGAAGAAATGCCTGTTACATAAAAAAACTCCCTTTTCTTCATGCGAAGGCACACATCGCGTACTTATTTTGCACGAGATTCGTGTAACTGCCGCACTTTTCGTAGTCCTGTTTCTTCATTCTCAATGTGACCAAGGTACAAGACTCTATTTTTCACAGTACCATGATCCAAGTTTTCGAAGATTGAAAGGAAAAATGAACGAATATAAACAATTTTCTGTGGAATCACTGCAAGACAGGATGGCCAACAGCACTTTGACTTTGGCGGGTTGGTACATACTCGGATAGGAGTAGCGCGATTTATACGAAAACAGGAGACACACAGAACACAGGCAACCACTCGCTCGTCCGTGTTTTGTGTGTCTCCTGTCTTCGTCTAGAGAGAGAGAGAAAACACAATGAGAAAGGCAGGGAGGTTAACCATGGCTGAGCCCCGGTAGGCTACCCTGCACTGGGGAAGGGGAGAGGGGAAGGGAAGTTGTAGAGGTGTGTAGCGCGATTTAGACGAAGACATTCCTCTGTCTTCGTCTAAATCGCGCTATACACCCATGCAAGGATGACTAACACACTGTTGGCGGTGGATGAGAGCCTAAGCAAAGTTATAAAAAAAAAAAGATATCCCGGGCCCACGTCTCTGCCCTCCATGAGGCAGCCCGGTGGGGCCCGAACACCCCAAGCCCCTCCCCCTAGTTCTCTCCGCCTATGGCTACAGAGTCACCTTGCCTCAGCATGCTTCGCAGAGCATCGGATTTCAAAAGTACGTGGATCTGCCAAATTTTTTTTTCTTATTCTTGAAGGAGCTCCACGCTACAGAATGGGCGAGACGGGCGGCCATATATACGCATACAGAAAGTGAAAATGCAAATAATAATTGATTGACTTGATATGCGTGGTTTAAAGTCCCAAAACCACCATATGATTATGAGAGCCGCCGTAGCGGAGGGCTCCGGAAATTGTGACCACCTGGGGTTCTTTAATGTGCACCCAGATGTAATAATCGATCAATCAATAATTTATTTAACGTGCCTCGGAACAACCATATGGTCCTTGCAGGCGCATGGAAGAATAGAACAATAAAAAAAAGAATAGAGTACAGTCTACAGAAAAAAAAATCAAGTAAAAAGGGGCGTAAACAAACAGACAAATGGAAATCAGCGCCAAATGGGAAAAATAAAAGACTAGGCGATAATCATAGAATGGCAGCAAAAATAACGGGTAATAAACACATGTTTATGTAGAAGGCTTCTGAAAAACAATTTTACAATAATAATAATAATAATAATAATAATAATAATAATAATAATAATAAATACAATTTATCAGTACTCACCAAAGACACTGTTCTCTGTCACATATGGAACATTCGATATGGGCACCGACTTGAGCTTCAGCTTGGGAATGTTTGGAGGATCATCAGGGCATGGATAGACGGTGGTTTTTGACGTGAATAAGAGCTCGTATTCGTGTTCAAAAATTGAATACGAAGGGTCTTTGGGTGGTTTCACGATGTAGTTTAAAATGTCATAAACCTGCATGGAACGTTTAATCATTATTTTTATTTTTCATGTCCAAACGCACAGCGTGCATAGTTATCAATGGGGCACAGGTGACCCTATCAGGCGTTACACGCCTATTGCTTTCACACCTTTCTTGAAACTATATTCACAATCAAATAGACATTCCGTCCTTCATACATTCTAAAACTCCTACGCAGTGAAGTGCATAATCAGTGCGCTTGTAGGACGCATTCTAAAATACAATTTATTCATTCAGTCAATCAATGTACACTGTATAATCACTGTGTTACTGCATGCGGCACAGCTCATAGACCACCAGCATGTGCAATGTTGCGTCGTGCTGCGCGCGACTTCTTGGTAGCCTGCTCGCACGTCGTCATTAGTTCGAACATAATCTGAAAGAAAGAAACCGGGATTTGCCGGCAAATCTCACAAGGCACCACTCAACATCCTCCCCATCATGATCATCGTGTTGTAGAGCAGAGTAGACAGTGTTGGAGAGACCAAAGTATGAAAAAATACATGACAGAATAATAGAGATACTGATATATCATCTTAGCGAAAGCATTACTCCTGCACGCATTACCGAATTTCGGAGCCTTCGACTCTTCGCTGGCGAAATTCGCCAGCTCGCAGTTCAGAGTCATCGGCTCTTCGCTCGCGCTGAGCCTCCACGTCATTTCCTCTTGTCTCGACAAATAATGTCATAATGACACTCTCCACGGTGGTCTGGTGGTTATGGTGCGCGACCGTTGACCCGCAGGTCGCGGGATCTACCCCCGGCCACATTTTTTAATGCGGTGAGAATGCTTCACGCCCATATGTGCTTACATTTAGGTCCACGTTAAAGAAGATGGTGGTCGAAATTTCCGGAGCCTTCCGCTATGCCGTCTATCATAAATATATCGTGGTTTCGGGACGTGAACCCCATCAATTAGATGCTATAAAACCTAATATGAAAGTGTACGCTATAAACCCAAAGTCCACAGCCATCGGCTGATCTGAGCATCGTGAGCTGCATTGCTACCGCGGCCGCCGCGGGATGCCGCCACGCACGCGCGATCACACTGAATGTATTCGTGCGTTCGAAGAAAAAATTGTTGTAGATACACGTCGTGAACTCTAATGATAGGGCGGAACAGTGCGCATCGAATCATGAATTGTGGCCTTCTATATGGTTCTGGTTAACAGTTTTTTGTTTTGTTCTTGTTAACCGTTTGTTTTGTCATATAGTGTGATTGATGGGTGCTTACATGTCGGTGTTCTCACGGTGTTGTGACCTTTTATTTTTTTAAACGTATATGCGTGCTATATACTGCTCACAGTTGTTTCGCACCAGCGCTTCCACGAGCGCTGCAACGAGCCTTCACAACAACGGCCGGACCAACATTGGGCGACATTACGGTGCTTCGCCCTTGAAAAAAAAAAGCTCAATGTCATGACGCGCCCTGACGAGCGGACGTAGCTCATTGACCCATGTCATCCACTTTCTGCGCTTCTTTCAGTACACGCTGGTGCTGGTTCACGCACCAGCACCGCTAGGGGGAGAAGGCGCTTGAAGCACACGGCAGACCCCACTTCCGTCTGTTATATTCCGAATTCTCTTGCGGCAGAATATCCGCAGGGTGCAAAAATGCACCCACAGTTGAGACAAGGGAAGTCTTTGCATGGGCCATTAGTAATTGCGTCAGTAATGAATTAATGAGCTGCGCATGTTGTGGCAGTGCGCATCTAATAGCACTTAAATTTCGAATAAACTCTTATAGAGACTAAATATCCGTTTCCGAATATTCTAATAACTGGGTGTACGTTCATTAAAACCAGATAAGCAGAATTCCCGTTTGTCTAAATCCGGATAACCGGATAACCAGCTTTTAAGGCCGGATTCACTTTTCTCCGTTTTAACCGGATGGCCGGTTTGGTGGATACTTGCAAGCCCTAGTATGTATTGCGGGGTCTTCAAATGGCCAGCGCCATGCTCTTGGAGTGAACGGACTCAGAAGCCACTATCGGACGAACAAAAAAAACAACACTCACTTACTTAACTACTTTTTAAACAACGATGTCGTCAGCCGAATTAATATACATATTGTGAACAAACCCTAAGACAACCTTCCACAATATTACCATACGCTCAACAACATAACAAACTCAAGAGCGCACAAAAGATGGCGTCGCCAACGCTTGACTTACCACGCGGGCCCCCGGCAGACGACCCCCGGTGACGTGCACCGAGGTCCAACTGCGAGAAACAACCATCCGCACCAAACGCCACCCGCAAAAAAAAGAGACTCACTGAACTCTCTCGTGCCACCACGAAGGCGCTATCGAACTAACCATGATGATTATAGTGATGATCAACGCTCGCGAACACAACGCCACCTACAGCTTGGCAGTTGTGAACCCGAAATATGGCTTAAGGCCGTAGCCGTTCCACGCGCTTCTCGGACAGCCGCAACGCACGTGCCGGGACCCCTACCGCACGCAAGCAGGGGACAAATAAGCCAATTGGCGACGCTGCGGAGGGTGAAAGAGTGTCGCCAATTGGCTTATTTGTCCCCCGCTTGCGTGCGGCAGGGGTCCCGGCACGTGCGTTGCGGCTGTGCAGGAAGCGCATGGAACGGCCGTGAAACACGTGCACCACGAGGCACAAACCACTTTACAGGGAGTGTTTGCACCCCCACAGTGTGTGTGTGTGTGTGTGTGTGTGTGTGCGCTCGCGCGCGCACCGAAAAACAGCAGGTAGACGTGCACCTTACCTTGTTGACTTGAATAGCATCATAAAGCCGGTCACAGTCCTGATTGAACGCCGTCGCACTTATTTCCCCACTTTCGTCGAGCAGATGAAGGGAGAACAACTTTCCCGGGCCCCTGCTATTGCTCCAACCTCGTACGGCAGTCTTATACGTGACCCGAATTCTGATTGTCCTCCTACAAAGAAGTATTTGACACACACATACATAACACGTGCTGCACATCCTTTGTTTTTTAATGTCCGCCGATGCAATTCTTACTCATCAGTGAATCCCATGCCTTTGTGCACAGTTCGTGACATGGCCAACATTTTGCTTTTCGGACAAACCCATGGAAAAGGGCGGGGTCTCAAGCTGGCACCCTTTATTGGATATATATTTCATATGTCATTTAAGTTATGTCATGCATACTTGAATGCCGCAGCTAAAGAAATGATTGCAGTGACATCCAGTCATATGTTACATCCAGCCATAGTGATATCCAGCCATTTATGTTATTTCATACATGGCATGCAAGGTCATGCCACTCAGCACAGGACACGCCGTTCCTTACCACACGACCGTCACGCATGTGTGCGTCTCGGTACCTACAAGGTGTCCCGACTATCATGCAGCATGATTTGGGGAAAAGAATGATGTTAGCGAAGCAAACCCAATACATATTGCCGCGGTACACTGGAGAAGTTGCTACTTTCTTTACTTATTATGATGTCTATTTATTTAGTTGTAATTATATTTACCATTCAGCAAGTACTCACCTAGTCATTAAAGTGTAAATGAGGCGTATGCAGGCGTGTTCGAATGAGATGTACATCTAAGTGTGCTGTTTTTACTGGTCTTGTGCAGCGAGTTGGGAGTCCTCCAAACGTTGCAAACTTCGCATCACTGCGGCGTCGCAGCACCATCGCGAAGCCCGCTTGAACCCACTAGGAAACGGTGGGTGGTCAGCCGGCACTGGGGATCGAGCCCAGTAGCCCCGTATTGGAAGCTCACAACTACGCTGTTTTCAGCGACGCACTGATTGCTTGCTGATTTTTTTCTCAGTCGACCAAGTATGCCCGCAAAATCTGAAAAGTGACACGTGACTATATACCGCAGCACGCATTAGAGCTGCTGTATAATCATCATCATCAGCAGCATCAGCCTGACTACGTCCACTGCAGGACAAAGGCCTCTCCAATGTTCCGCCAGTTAACTCGGTCCTGTGCTTTCTGCTGCCAATTTATGCCCGCAAACTTCTTAATCTCATCTGCCCACCTAACCTTCTGTCTCTCCCTAACCCGCTTGCCTTCTCTGGGAATCCAGTTAGTTACCCTTATTGACCAGCGGTTATCCTGTCTACGCACTACATTCCCGGCCCATGTCCATTTCCTCTTCTTGATTTCAACAATGATATCCTTAACCCCCGTTTGTTCCCTAATCCACTCTGCTCTCTTCTTGTCTCTTAAGGTTACACCTACCATTTTTCTTTCCATTGCTCGCTGCGTCGTCCTCAATTTAAGCTGAACACTCTTTGTAAGCCCCCAGGTTTCTGTTCCGTAGCTAAGTACCGGCAAGGCACAGTTGTATATACCTTCCTGTTGGGCGCTGCTATATATGGCTCCTTAAAAGTAAAAGATAAAGTAACTTTAGCACATCAGGAAGCAGATCCCTCCAGTCAAGAGTGTACGGACTGCCCTATCTGCCACTCACTTGCCGAAGAAATGCGACGCCTTGGTCTTATAAAGTCAGCCGTACTTAGAACAGTGCTCCTGCCACGTTATCAATAAGCACAGTTAGCCGCGAGACATATGATAATAGTGGCAAACAATCGAGCGGAAGAAATCCTTGTAAAGTTTCGACGCACGTTGCTCATCCTGACCGCTGGCTGTCTCTGGCAATCGATAGCTGGCAGAGCGGTTTCTTGCAGGAAGCTTATTTTGGGGCGCTGATTTTTTTTTTTTTTTTTTTTTTTTTTGCGGGTGGGAGCATTATGGCGCATTATTTCTGCCACTTCACGGGCTTTCGATAACAGCCGGGAAAAAAAAATGAGCACGCAATCAGTACTTTGTTGAAAATAGCATAGGTAGATGCCATTCGAGCACACCTATATATGACTTATTGACATTTACATAAACAGGTGAGCACTTGTCCAGTTACTACTATAATTATGACCACCGTGCACTTCCACCACCCACTTCACCACCTCCACACCAATTCACTATGGAAGAGGTATAGTAACCTCCAGGAAATTGCAAACGAACACTCGCCTTCGCGGTATACTATACTTTATCACATATCACCCATCTGTCATGTCCCGGACACTCTAAGGCGTATAGTATAAGGATGCACATAAAACCCGAGCACCGCTAAACTAACCGAAGGCAGTGGAAAATTAAGCTATCCGACCCAGACCTGAAGAATCAGCGCAGCCTGGGGCAGCAGGCACGAGAGGTGGCGAAGGCCCGCGGCTACTTCGAATATGGTCACCACCCACCTTGGGCGCACAGTGCGCTTCCTAACAATAAACGTTTATTCTCTCTCTAATGAGATGCGTCTAATTAACAAACAGTTAGGAATTGGCACTCCCAGTGCTATGTACTAGATTTGCCTTGAGCAGCGCCGTTCCTTTAAAAAAAATCGTGCTGCGGGATGTTTGAGGCACCTTGTATATAGTTTCAGTGAAACGACCACGACGGCTTCATAACATGTGCATTATGTCATTTAATGCTCTAGATGACGTACATGCAGACGACATGCATATTTATATATATATATATATATATATATATATATATATATATATATATATATATATATATATGTGGTAGAAAAAGAGGTCGACAAACGTGCGAAAAAACACTAGTTTTACTAACGTTTCGGCAGGTGGGCCTGCCTTCGTCGGATTGATTCACTCCGACGAAGGCAGGCCCACCTGCCAAAACGTTAGTAAAACTAGTGTTTTTTCGCACGTTTGTCGACCTCTTTTTCTACCGCATTTTCCACCGGATCCATTGAATTTCACCCCACCATATATATATGTATATATATATATATCCACGATTCAGAGACATCTGTACGTGGTGCCATCTCTCGGCGGCAGCAATGAGGTCTTGCCGTAACTGAATGGGAAAATAGGCGAAACAAATCAAGTCTTTTGAAATAAGCTAGTCATACAGCAGAGACGTACTGGAACATTTTCGCAAAATTTCAGTATCGCAGTACAAGACGTGTGGCTTCCCAGGAGAACATGAACACAACCCATTTAAAACACGTGGGGCTCCATCTCCATTATAAAATAACACCCCGGCAAGCCACGCGTTTTGTAGTCACGCACGTCATTCATTTGATGACACTTCATTCATGTTAGTGATACACTATTGTTTGTGCCTACAAACCTATACATTCAGTGGCCGCATAGACGTTGAACCTTAACATAGATACATCCAGCTGGTTTCCGGAAGAAAGAAATCATATAAAAGCTGTTACCCTGGATAAGAAGGGGTAAGTTGAGCGATCGGGATGATACCGCCACTTGAGCTGCTTTCAAATGACGCCGCTACCGGTGCTGCATGAAAATGCAATGAACGCAGTGCGTTTAATTAGGAGATAAACTGTCTGCGCATTTCTAAAGAGAGAGAGAGCAACTCCGGCAGTATTGGAGCTACCACGAAACGGCAGTACCACGAAAGCTTTTGCAACAAAAAACAAGCAAAAAAACAAGGCACTTGTTTCGTTACCAATATGTATATATACAAAGGACCGCTTGTAAAATTGTCAGTGAGTCTATTAATCGTGAATGTTCCTCACGCAGAACGGATTTGCCATAATCGTTGAATAAGGCCAAGAACTTGTGCTATCAACATGGAATGGGCTTGGAAGCCGCCATCCTCCTTTCCTCCCGCGGTTCGTCGAGTAAAAAAAAAAATCGGCAGATTCCACGTACCTTGGGAATCGGTGTTAGGCAAAGCATGCGGATGGAAAGTGACTGTGTTGTAATTTTTATAGAGCGAAAGGTTATTGAGTGACGCTAAATATATGTTAGGTGGGCAGATGAGATTAAGAAGTTTGCGGGTATAAATTGGCAGCAGCAAGCACAGGACCGGGTTAACTGGCGGAACATGGGAGAGGCCTTTGTCCTGCAGTGGACGTAGTCAGGCTGCTGCTGCTGATGATGATGATGAAATATATGTACAAATACACGCAGTGTTATACGTTAAACAGCATATTATGTTTAACACTAGCAGTTGTTTGCAGCTGCGTAACGATTTCAACACCAACATGAATATTAGCAATACCAGAAGCAGTAAGCTGATATGAAGCATCCGTGCTTGCACTGGTGCTCGCGCGGATAGTAGCCCACAACACTGCTACATGAATGAGCTTCAGTGCATGGCGCCTAACCTTAATTGACGTTAACCCGACATTTTCGTAAAGTTTATCAAATTGAATAGCCAGCACTGCGTCCACAATTGACATTTCATGAATATATAGGGTCTATTTCAAAAATTAGTTCCGAGATCTGGCCTGGCTCTGTGATGGATTACTTGATTGCCAAGCTATTTGATTCCTGCAGGGATGCTGACATTTACTACTATTTGCATTTGTCCCGTCAATGCTGCCAATGTCAATTCTTTCATAACGATCAAGCGTTAAATATATTCGTGCGTGTTCTCGCCGATCCTGGGTTTCCATAACCTGTCAATCACCTGTGGCACATACCCACACAGCAGTGGCACATATATCCAGCCCCAGGAATGAGTCACTGTTTTTCGAAAAGTGTATGACGACGTACACGACGATATTGTGACATTATTCATGTCATGACCAGCCAGTGGTGTTCGTCGAAACCATCTTACCCTCCCATACTAAATTTGGTTTATCCCAAGTTAAGGGGGTGATCACGAGAGCAGCCAGACGTAGATAGATAGACAGACAGACAGACAGACAGACAGACAGACAGACAGACAGACAGACAGACAGACAGACAGACAGACAGACAGACAGACAGACAGACAGACAGACAGACAGACAGACAGACAGACAGACAGACAGACAGACAGACAGACAGACAGACAGACAGACAGACAGATAGATAGATAGATAGATAGATAGATAGATAGATAGATAGATAGATAGATAGATAATGCTGATGGGCGTTCGAAGTGCCTGCAGTACGCAAAGAAATGCTTCGCCTTTAAGAAAGCTTGTCAACGGATACAAACGTGAAGCGTGACATACTTGTCACAACGACCTTACTTTGGTTACCGGCTTCATATGTATTTGGCGACGTGTGCGCGTGGCGCCATCTCTCGACGGCAGCAACGGCGTCCTGCCATAACTGAATAGGAAGTACGCGAAAAAAAAAAATTACATATGACGAATCATATATGCTAGTTCTCAAAAACAACTCACGGTTATATGCAGGACAGTTGAATTCTGTGCATTGAAAACGCATATATGGGTCCCATCGTAAAAAAAAAATACTGAGAACTCTGACAAGCCCCGTGGTTTGTAGGGCGGCACTAATATTCCTACAATGTGGGTCTCATCAGCTTATAACCGGGAGTCATTTTTCGGTAACTAGCTTATTTGGTCAAATATGATTTTTTTTTTCGCCCATTTCCCTTTCACTCACGGCAGGCCACCACTGTCCCCGACGGCAAATTGCGTTCCACGTAAATGTCCCCTTAATGTCTACTAGCATCCCTGTATATGCTACCACAGGTAGTAGGGAGCATACACAGTAATGTTAAGGTCCACAAATACTGATCACGGCCGGAGGTAAAAGTAGAACACAAAGCAGTCATATTGGAATGCAACAGCAATACCCTCAGCTTCCACTGTAATTCAGTTAAAAACTGCATGGCAGTAACCCTGCACCCAGATCACAGAACACGTCCGACAATTCGCACCGTGTGATTTTTGTACACAATCTGTGAGTTCCACCATCAACGACCCCCCCCCCCCTTTTTTTTTCTTTTGCTTCCCTCACTTCGTCATCTTATTTTCCACTCCAATCTCTATTACCTCGATTTCCAACGCCCTTCCACCGTGAATCACTGCTAAGGTGTCGCACTTAGCTGCAGACAGTTGCTGGGTTCACTTTTATCTTCATTTTTCCTCTTTTAAAACCACTTCACCTAGAGTAAGCATATGGAGACGCCCCCTCCTCCCCAAGATGATTAGTGCGGGAGGAGAGGGGAAGGGCACTATTGCGGGCTTTTGCTGAACTTATCCAAGTGTTTGTTCTTCTTAGATCACAGTGTACTAGCCCTTAAAAAATTCCAAATTTAGGACAGGAATCGAAATGTCCTTGCCATGCTCGCGGTATTCGATTCGAGAACTCACAACTACTAGTACTCGCATTAGTTTAGCTTGTGCCGCGTAATGTACAAAGCAAAAACATACCATAAAAATGCACGAACACCTCAACCTCCCACCAAATACCAAAGGGAGGCCGAAATGTTGCATCTTCAGCTGATTGACAACTGGTGAACTGGGCTCGGGCAGCAGCCAAGGGGTTAGGAGGCTGGATCGACTTCGATCACTCGCGCGTTAGTTTATGATGCTGCTTGTTTACAAGCACCTCAGTTGGTTCCACGCCCCCTGACATTCCAAAATTCTTAGCAAATTAATTCAATTCCAACTTTGCCATTCGCTTCATTTAGAAATCCAATGAATTTTAGATGACATTTAGAATTCGTCAGATTGAGAAATCAGATGATTAAATATTTCGAAGTTGTTTTCGACGAATGCCCCAATTAGACTCGGAAAAACTCGCAGTTCAAAGGCAAAAAGTTGCCGCGGAGAGAGAAGCAGGATGATTGGAGCAAGTAGGAAAGAAAACACCGTGACCGCGATTGCACGCGATTAATATTTCAGCTCCGAAAGGCACCATGACAATGTACATGGATGAAAATAAGTCACAGTTTTCGCTGTCAGGCTCACCTGTCGACGGCGTTGAAAAGATGTAAATCGAAGGCCTCCGCAACGTGCGGCCCACGTCCGTTCCTTTGCGGATGACGGTTAGGCCCAGAACAACCAGAATATCTCTAGGAAAAAAAAAAGATCGGAACGCCATGCCGGGCAATAACGCGATTAAGTAGCTTAGGAGCCGTTGCACATTTCATATGTTCGTAACAACCAGATATCAAAACTGGTACACGGAAAACTGAATCAAACTCATAAGGACGTTTGTTTTAGGCTTCTTTAGCGCATACACACTCTTAGCCGTTCTAGAAATGGGCGTTATGCACCAATAGTTACAATTTTTACGCCTTTGTCAAAGTAATAAACATTTTTCGTGACAGTATTGGTGAGATAGCGATATGCGCATTTGCTGGACTAATTGGACAACTGTGCATTATTGTAACAAAATGTAACAAGCCCAGTGCTTCCAACTAAACTATGTTGCATGTCATAGACCACCGACTCGCCTAGCTAGAGGATTATTGAATACAAAAGATTCCCTTCGCGCTACTCAAGTTTTTAAAGAACCCCAACTTTACAAGATGCTATCACCCCCTGTAAAGTTGTTTGCACCTTGTGCCCTGGTAGCGCCGCCACGCAGCTGCGGCCAACGTTACTAGATATCTAGTAACATGACCTCCGAGATGGCGGGCACGCGGCGCCGAGCGCCCGCCCTCTCAGAGGTTATGCTAGAAACGTCGGCTGTGGCGGAGAGGCTAGGACCGCAATCGTGAGTGGACGTCATCTGCGGGGTATCCGCGGGAAACGGCGACCGTGGCTCGTTTTCCGTGTATCCCTCGTGGTGAGTCGAGCGTCGGTGACGCCGCATTCGCGGTACCTTTTGTGCGTTATGTTATTTGTGTGTTGTAATTGGAATATTGTATAAGGTTGTTTGAGCGTGTCACTAGTGACTTACTCGATTCGGCTGTCGATATCGTCGTTGTAAAAGCAAGTGACTAAATGTAAACGTATTTTTGTTGCCCTTTCACGTTTGCTGTCTCCGTGTGCTCAGAGAGCGTGGCGATCATTTCGAGACCCCACAACGTAGAACAACAGATAGCATGCTATTGGCATAGGCGTGCGCAAGTTTGCACGTTACGGAGAAGGGAGGGAGGGGCGATTTGTCGAAGCGCCCCCATGCCAATTAAATCATTGGGTCAGGCGAACATTGTACCCCTCTGTTCACACGTCGCCCTGTGCTCACACCTATGGCTATTGGCCAATAAGGGCCGTTCCACGCGCTTCCCGCACAGCCGCAACGCACGTGCCGGGACCACTACCGCACGCAAGCGGGGGACAAATAAGCCAATTGGCGATGCTCTTTCACCCTCTGCTGCATCGCCTATTGGCTTATTTGTCCCCCGCTTGCGTGCGGTAGGGGCCCTGGCACGTGCGTTGTGGCTGTGCGGGAAGCGCGTGGAACGGCCCTAATCGACATAAATCAAGAGTGGCGCTTGTATCAGATGTGCTAGCTCCTTCCCACGGGCTGCCGCCACGTGGGTTGATTATTTGAAGAAGTTAATTGTTTATGGCCTCTCCAAAACACGGACAAGAAAAGTAGACACATGGCGCCATCCGGCTGAACGTTCACTAGACAAAAGAAATCAACAGCAAGAACTCCGAATTCATTGATTCATTGCCTGTATGGTATCTGTGCGTATAACCCGACAGAAGAAAAACAAAAGTGTTGCGTTATTAACTTCCTGTGATCGGTATTTGCAACATACTACCAAATACATCAGCAAACTTGCCTGCTACTTTCTCTGACGGTATACCACATGTACTTTTCCAGTCGCACCACCGCGTATTTGTCAATATGGTTGTCGCTGGCCGTGTTTGTAAGATGTGCTCCAAGCATAGCATCTGCAAACCAGGCAAATATAGCGATATATATATATACATATATATATATATATATAGAGAGAGAGAGAGAGAGAGAGAGAGTTCCTGATGTGTCTCGGTCACAGACCTGTAATTTGCTATAAAATCTAGGTTTAAAAACAAGCTCGCAAAAAAATATATAGCTCACATGTGAGACAGTCTGCTCCATCGAAGAGCACTATCCTACATCTCTCTGCAGAGTCATTGCGAATGGCTTTTAAGTCCTGAAAATAAAAAAAGAAAGTGGCAAAGTATTAATATATACGAAAGAAGGGGTACGTGTTATCCGGAGGGCTCGTCTTACGTATTTCTGACTCAAAAAAATCGCGACCGAATTTCGATAGAGGCAATATGCTAGAAGCCCATGTGCAAAGGTTTAGGTTCACGTTAAAGAACCCAAGGTGGTCGATAGTTCCCGAGCCTTCCCCTACGGCGACCGTAGTTGAGGGCTACTACCAGGTGATGTGATGGTTTTAGGACGTCGATTATTTGATTGATATGTGGTGTTTAACGTCCCAGAACCACCATATGATTATGAGAGACGCCGTAGTGAAGGGCTCCGGAAATTTTGACCACCTGGGTTTCTTTATCGTTCACCCAAATGTGAGCACATGGGCCTACAGCGTTTTCGCCGCCACAGAAAATGCAGCCACCACAGCCGGGATTCGATCCCGCGACCTGCATGTCAGCAGCCAAGTACCTTGACCACTAGACCACCGCGGCGGGGCGGTTTTAAGACGCAAAACCCGGACAATTAATGTGAGGCTAACCAACAACAACTTAATTCAAAAATAAAACAATTTAGTGAAAACAATAAATTGCTTAGCATATATGGGTATCTACTGAGCGACGACACAACCTAAAAAAAGAAAAAAAAACGTCGTGCAGTTACATACCGATATCTGCAGCACGGGTTTGTGAACGTTTTCTTTGTTCAGTAGACGCTGTAAAATCGAGAAAATATTGAAAGGGGGCGTCAATGCGCACGTGCATGCATGGTCAAATGTCAGTTTCGTAATGTTTCCCTACCTCTCAAGAATTTACTTTGGTGCTATGAAGTAGTCGACTTGTGTAAAGGGACACTAAAGTAAATGAATTATTCGGCTATATTGATAAACCGCACTTTAAAAACATCATTGTCGGCAATTTCGTCATCGTAGCTTTATTATTAGAGGTGCAAAATCATGGCCGTATTTTCGTTTTTAGATTTCGCGCCGATATTGGCGCGCGTGACGTCGTTGATTTTCAAAGTGAATTTTTCGTATCTTAGCGACATTGCCTCAACGAAAGTTTCTAGAACATGGTGCCCTTAGATCTCGAGCTCCTTCAAAAAGAATAATAATAAAGATAGAACATACTTCGTTTTTTACCGATTACAAACAACGTAGGGCCTAGCAGGTGCCGTCAAAGCTTATGACATCACGACGTTTGGTGTGATAATTTTAAGGTGGTGTACCCATTTGCATTTTATTTTCGCACGTATTTTCGTTTGCAATGCGTCTTTTGGCGGAAAACGCGGCGATATTCAAATTGTCTGTAATTTGCTAATAAAAAGTAATTTACTAATTATTTGACAGAGTAACTTACTAATAATATAAAATCAGCTAGTAAACCTATATAATTAAATTAGATACGTTCTACGAGCATGAGCAGTTGTTTGGCGAGACGAAATTCACCGAAGTGTGGGAGTATAGACTGGGAAAGCAATTACAAAACGAACTATCCCAATACCCGTACGCCCCCCCCCCCCCCCCCCCTACCGGTTATTGTGAACCCATACACCAAGACAGACTAATTATGATATACCTATAGTCCGCCATGTTTAATGTGCTTGCGACCATAAAGTGACTACCAAAAAGGGGCGCTCGTCTCGCGGCGTGTTCCGTCCCCTCCCATCAATCCTTCGGTCCACCGCACTAGAGTGTACTCTAGATTACTCTATGACGGTGCCCTCGAGCTATAGAGGCTGGGGTCAAGCTCTGTCAGGTGTTCTGTGGCTCTGTCGGGCGATCGTTCTGCGGGTCCGGGCTGTCGCAGATCGCCATAGGTGTCCTAGAATAGGGAACCTCCCCGTTTTCTTTGAATTTGCATAATAAAATGATTTCATTATCATCACTGCGGCGTGTTAAGGGATTTTTCATAAGCGCGCCGCCTCCGTTTGGAGGCGGCGTCCACATGCTCCTAGTATTCCTAGGCGTTACCTCCAAAAATTCCTCAAGTCTAGGTACAAATACCTAAACCAAGGATCCGGTAATACTGGCATCGCAATCGCAGTGACCCAAATAGGCTACTTGCTGAAGTACCTCCAAAGGCAGCCAGATATTGTAATCGAAGGCGTTTATGAAGCCCGTCAACACTTGTGCAATGATGCAGCGGTGCTACATGCAAACTGACACGTACGCGACCAACACAAACACGGCCCAAGCTCTGCCGGAAGTGTAACATGAAACGTTTGACGGCCGTGCAGTAGACAACCGCGCGTATGAATGTTAGAAACAATGTCCGCACTCTCTTTCCGTTCTATGCGCATTAAAAAGAGGACATCATCTATAAAAAATAATAATGATCACCAAAATACTAACCTGAATCGCCCCAGTTGTGAGCCCATCGTCTTCCATGACCGAGAGGAAACAGCGGAGGCGTGGTATGTATCGCAACGCCCTCGTCGATTACGCAACGACGCCGCACGCAGTTTAAATATTCTTTGCGCGCGTTAACATCTCTGCTGGTTACGAGTCACTTCACATTCACCCCGTATTCTCTTTTCAATGGCAGCTGCAGGCGCCTTGCCATACACTTTAACCTTCATAGGTATACAGCAGATTTCCTTCCTCCACGGTATATACGCTACCTCATCTCATGACGCGGATACAGGCCTCAACGTTTGAAGCCCCAAAGCTCTTCGCGTACTGTCGCTTTCGGTCAAGCAGGAGCGATGAGTTAATGTTCAAATATGGTCTGCGGCGCTTTGGGTACTCTCCCAATTCTTGGTCATGTCACTTAATTCAGTGAGTGCCATCACGTTTGCCTGACGCAAAGCTTTTGGGGCAGGCTTTGAAGCTCCCGCTAAATTCGAGAAATAGCGTCCCCAACCCAAAAACCAAACGCGGCTTGGGCTTTCCGCGTGCGCAGTTGCCTTGGCGCTATTCCTTTGGGGCCCCTATTCGAAAACTCTCCAATCTCTGCCCGAGCTTGTGGGAACGCGATTGAAGGCAAGATTCGCGTGTGCCGGATTCGCCCAACATTGCTTAGTTCCGAAATAAAACAACTTGCACGAAAACAATAAATTGCTTAGAAACAAGCATTGTATCCCCCCCCCCCCCTTCACCTCCGGCCGGGCAGGAAGATACGGTCAAGTGTGATTTTGGGATGTATGACATGGCGAAATAAAAAATTCGATGGTGTAAGAGGAGGGGGTGGGTGGCATGGGTGGCGACACTAGCGAGGGTCCGGTGACGCCCTGGCTACGCCAATGCTTCAAGTGCGAGTTAATAAATCTCCCCCTAGCGATGCGGCTTCAACTATTAACAAACAAAACGGACATGTCGGCCCTGGAAAATGTCCGATTACGGGGAGAATGTCCAATTACGTGGAAGGAAAAGCTATCACCCTTCCCCCCACCGCTCCAGAGCAACAAAACTCAGCGCATAAGGTCACAGCCTCCCCAAAGAAACATTGTGGGTGCCCTCATAATTTCCTTTCCTCTATGGCTTTTCTTTTTCTCTACTTTCCATTTCTATGTCTCCATTTCTCTTTCCCTTTCAATTTTCTTTTCATTCTTACACTCCACCTTGTGCCTTTCTTAGGCACTCTTCTTTTTCCTTCCCACCCCCTGCTATCTGTGCTCTGCCAGCTGCTCGCCCTCACACAGTGAGTGTGCAGGTTCGAATCTCACCTCGTAAATAAGTTTTTGTCCCCTAGAATTTATCCCTGTACTGGTCGCTTCACCCATCAGTTATTACACCCTGCACTAGAGAAAGGGGGGCTGTGTTTTGGGAGAGAAGCACATGACATGAAGAAGAAGACCAAGAGAGTGGGCGTTAGTTGACGATGCTTTTCTGGCGAAGCCACACAAACTACAGCCAGCTACAACAGCTTCGGTGTTAAAAAATCCTGGTGCTGCCCATGACATTTGGGTATGCGTTCATCTTGACGGAATGGGTACTCAGACACAGATCAAGTGGAGAAAAAAACATCAATGCAGGCTCATTCTTGCCTTACACACTTAGTGCACACGTGTCGTCCTTATCATCACTACTTCCATGATGGGCTCCATTTTCTATCTTACACTTGACCACATTTGCTAATAATCTACATTAGACAGAAACAAATATTGGCAGCACATTACACTCTGTTGAAAAGAGAGGAGCAACTTCATTTTACACGCCCGTATTCTTTGAAGGTGAAAGCCAGTTGCACATTCGGTAACAATAGAGGACGAGAGTGCCTGCAGAATGTCAGGATTGGCAGTGCAAGACCTAGCTGGCCAGTAGCGTAGGGAGAAATTAGAAAGGGGGAGAGGGACACAACCATACTTTATGTATCCTTGTGTGAGCGTGTATCTGCATATATAAACACATGCAAAATTGAAACATTTTGGAGCAGCGGTGTTCGAACCCCCCTTCAACCCTTATGGATCTGGCATGCACCAGCACAACATTCTCCTTCAGTCCCAATATTCCTACTCCTCTCCTGCAGCTTGCTGCACATCATATATAATTACACTCCCTCTGGGATTGGCCCACACTCTTTACTGATCAATGATGTCAATGAATGACGTTGGCTATCTGTGAAATTGTGATTCAACATCATTGCTTGCTCGAGGGTCATGTGCGTCTTTAAAGAGGACTAGAGAATTCTCAAAGGGTCACTTCACCTTGTGGCAAGGTCCTGCATAAGTATCATGAAGGGAGCACAAAAGTGTTTTGCATTGGCAGCACTGCACTTTAACCTGATGCGTGTGACAAAACGAAAGTCCTTCAGAACGTTTTATGAAAACTTCATTCCAACAGTACAAACGCATAGTGAAAGTTGTGTGCACGGAACATGCATTAGTCGCAGCGAGAGCCAGAGTGGGGCCCTAGAGTCTAGTGTAAACTATATTAGGGTGCTTAGTGAAGGCACTTTTGTTTCTTGAGGATGAGACTGCGAGAAGGCATGACTAGCAGTGCAAACTAAACGTAGGCATCAGTGCATTCATTGCTCATTTCCTTCCCTCTTCTCTTTCTGTTGCCCTTTCCCATCCCCCAGCACAGGGTAGGCACTACACCCGTTATTGCGACTTTTTGCTCAACATGACAACCGTATCGGGTCTTTCTCCAAAAAAGTTTCAATCACATGTGGTCCTGCGCTGAAACACTTGACTGCCACGCACGCCTCAATTTAATTCTGATTACAGTTATTTATTTTCTCATTTCGTGAAAAATATGCGATAAATGCTGGTAAAAGCAGATGACAACTAAAATCAGCTGTTGAGAGCTCAGAACAGCTTACGCTGCAATAGTGCATTTCTCAAAGCTTGATGGCATGGGCAAGCAAGTACCCTAATAAGGGATGTGCAAGCAGCAAATATCAACGAACAAACCATCATTGGTGGCCATCGCTGTTACCGGCTGCATGAATACAGATAACCAGAGTTGTGTCTATGTCTCCCTACATATTCGGTGGTAAAACGACCGTCAACAGTCAAGGAAACGACGACCAGCACAAATGCCGCGAATATTGGCGGTCTTTCTGCCGCCAAATAAGTAACACCACCACGCACACAGAGATGTCACACTGCTGCCGAGGCGACAGTAGAAACTTCACCCGAGTCATTACACAGACAAATTTAAAACGCAGTGTTTAAAAGAAAGAAGGCTGCATTATGCTGGTCATATTCAGTATACTACAAGAACACATTCTAAGCAGATTGTCTGTTTCAGTTCGCAGATACAGGAAGGATGTCAGAATAACCTGGCCTCCAACCAGCCTCTTCTTCACTTGACATGTTTGTGCACACAGTGCCACACTGTGCAACAAGTCATAAACTCTCAAAACTCACTGACTGTGCTGTTGCGATGGCCACTGGAACATGACTTTGTCGATAAATATCCGTAAAGTTATCATCATCAATTGCTATCCTAAAGGCAGACCTCTTTTTGAGTAAACGACCTGAAACAGAGCCCTGTGTAGGCAGACAACCAGGGTGCTATCTAATAATGGCTTGGCAAGTAAATCATAGCATGCCCTTGCATGACTGGCTCGAATCCCTCACTTTCCAACTCGAGAGCGATACAGGCCAATTGCGCAAAGACATGGAAACAGGCCGGCTTTATAAAGCATGAAAGATATGATAGGGCTCCATGAGCCCCCAAAAAGAATCCGAGAGAAACAGACACTAAACTATGCTGTAGGTACACAGACACAAAAGAAACTTCAATGCCATCTTTGCATAATTGAAGTACAGCAATTTAATGCAGCACAGTACCGTAACACTGCTCTCGCACAGAAATGTTAGGAGTAAGCAAAGCAACAACATCTCATGCCAATAACAAACAACAAATGGTAATATGGTCAACCGGTGTGATATGGTTAAGTTATAGACAGAGAAAAATCATTATTATACAAGTCCGACATTGATGAGATTGTTAATGCTATCTCAAACTACACATACTACCGGAATCTTGAGATATGACGTACATATTAATGAACACACTTGAGAATGATCTGAGCCATTTCACCTGAGTAGTAATTCACCTTCAAGATTGTGGTACATGCATGTAGTGCAATAAGCTGCAAGCAGTGCAGAGTTAGACACGCGAGTTCATCGTTTAATATGCCAGCATGATTACAAAGTGTATCTCAACTGCTTAATTAGGCACTGATCTTCTAATACTGCACAATGCAGATCTTGAAAGCAACTTCCTTCAGCTGTTCTTTGATTTTCTACCAAGCAATCACAAGTTTTTCTTCAGCTCGGCAATGTCCTTGAGCAGCTTTTTTGTATATTCAACATAGTCGACCGGGGAAACGGACATTACGGAAGTCTTCAAGCGGCTCTCGTCCTGCAACCAAGGTTTGAGAGAAGGTAAGTATTCAGAAAGCAAACTAGTTCAGTCTGCTTGCTAAATCATGTACATGTGTTTTATATGACTGTGGGCATGGCCCCTTCCATGCAAATCACACTCGACACAACACTAAGCACAGTGACACTAATAATCACACACTGTTACTGATAAAGTCAAGAGGAATTCAACAATTTGTTTGTATAGACTGTCTTTTTATTGCAATAGGAATAATATGGACAGTAGAGAGACATTTTTCCAGATTGCAAAGGGTTCCGTGTAGAGTCTAAATCAATGACAACGCCCTGCGCTTTGTATTTTTAATATAATGTGCGAGTGAAAGTTAGCGAGGGCTGCTAAGCAGAAAGTGAATGCATCAGCCATCTGTGTCTTGGGAAAGGCACACAGAGAAGTCCCGAAAGGGGGCTGTGTGGATTTGGCAGGGACTGTGAGCACGAACCACTCGGGCGTAGTCACCCATGGGCGAGCACCATATATTCACACTGAGTAGTAGACGGCTCATACCTTTGTAAGTGCTGTAGTTTGTGTTGAAGCCGTAGACAGTGCTCATTGCCATAGAGTTTCCTAATATACACTAGAGGGAACTCTGGCGCTAGTGTCTGCAACGCACGGAACTCTGGCGCTAGTGTCTGCAACGCACGGCAGCTACAACGCACGGCGCTTCAGCGAGCATGGGAATGATGGGTAGTACACACATTTGTCTAATCTTCGTACATCTGGCCTGCTTTTGGTTCCGTGAGTTCATGTAGCTTGGAGCTGTTTTGTTACGAAACAAAAATCAGCAAATGTTTAGCGGTTGTGCTTTACCACCTTATTCTTTTAGACTTACCTTTCCAAATAGAATCATGAAGTTCAAAAGGGCCGAGTCTTTTTTTCAAAACAAAATCGAAACACAGCAATAAACGAAGTCGCAAATACGATTCGCCGCCCGCAAGTACAAAGACTAGGCAAATGTGTGTACTACCCATCATTCCCATGGTCGCTGAACGATTGCGACGACAGAGCCCCTCTAGTTGATTTTAGCAAACTCTATGCTCACTGCAACGCTCGTGTTTCCTAATGTCAATGAGTTTTAAGTGAAGCCGCATGCTAAAAAAATGAGCTGCCAGCTGTACTCCCCGTAACGCTCCAATTTCTTGCTATCAGATTTTCTGCTTCACCCTCGTCATGAAACTGCCAATTTTTCAAATATATAGTCAACATCAATGCCACAGCAACAGGCATATTGAGGCCAATGTAACAGCAAGGTCCTCTTACAGGATGCACGGCGAGAACATGAAATCAACCTACTGCTTCTCAAAGAAGCTGTTGCAGGCTTTCTCATTCATAAACGTGTTTTAAAAATCTACAGCGTCTAACATAGCTAGCGATAAATCAATGTCCATTACAATTTCAACCAAGCTACTTAAAACTGTTATATGAATACTAGTTCTGATTTGAAAGCACCAATGCTACACAGCGTTAATCTGAATAGATTCAAACGAATAGCAATGCCAAAATATACTGATCTGTGAATACAAAAAAAAAGTTCAAAGAAAATAGGTAATGCTGCTTCTTACATTGTAGACCTCCACTTTGGTGCGAAGGCGGAAGATGAAAGGCTTGAAGGGAACATCATTAAGGGTGTCCTCAAATCTGCTGTCCTCCTACGGCAGACAAGCAAACAGCTCTCACAAAAGCACAATTATAGACTGAATAATTGATTACAATTTCCATTATAAAGCATTGTTTAATGAAACACAACCACATTATTCACAGTTCTTTCATGGCTTCAATCGCTGTGCATTCATATTAGATCGCAATACAGTAGAACCTTTGTGATATGAAGCTGGATGATACGAATTTGCAGGTTTGTGTGAATAGTGACGTTTAGGTTCGAAGTGAATAATGACATTTGTCAAATAATTTTGAATTGAATTCGAATAGTACATATCACATACTGATAAAATCATGGGAATATTTATCATAACCAAATCGACCTGCAGAATATTTTTTTGAGCACCGAGACAAGGCCTGTGCGAATGCTTTTTTTTTTTTTTCAATTTCAAATAAATAGAAACAACTTTGAACGATAGCAGGATTTGACTTTCAGCAGAATGCTAGTTATAACCTGTAAAATACGATACGTTTTAAAAATTACAGTCGAATCTTAATAATTCAAACTCGAAGGGGCCTAAAAATTTGTTCGAATTAACGAAAGCTATGTAAACGTAGGGCTCCCCATGCAGTGGCGCATGTGCATTGAGCTAACGCATGAGGGGGAAGTTTCAGAAGACTTACATTTATTCATAAATCACAGAATATCCATCATTAATTGAAGTAATCAGTGATGCGCGTCTGCACACGTTTGCCTTGCAGCGAGTCAATCAATTTCGCACACAGCTTGCAAAGCATGTCTGCTTCGGCTTTAGCGTTCTCCTGGCAAGAGAAGTTGCTCGCGGCAATTTTCAGCGCCGACACTCTCTAAAGACGACGGAAGGAGAAGGGTCTTTAAGTGGCAGGGGCAGAAAAGGGAGAAGCATGGCACAGGCATGTCACAGATCGGCATTTGAGAGAGTGCAAGCGAACATTCACCATCATCAGCCTGACTATGTCCACTGCAGGACAAAGGCCTCTCCCACGTTCCGCCACTTAACCCGGTCCTGTGCTTGCTGCTGCTAATTTATACCCGCAAACCTCTTAATCTCATCTGCCCACCTAACCTTCTGTCTCCCCCTAACTCGCTTGCCTTCTCTGAGAATCCAGTTAGTTACCCTTAATGACCAGCGGTTACCCTGTCTACGCGCTACAAGCCCGGCCCATGTCCATTTCCTCTTTTTGATTTCATCTATGATATCCTTAACCCCCGTTTGTTCCCTAATCCACTCTGCTCTCTTCTTGTCTCTTAAGGTTACACCTACCATTTTCCTTTCCATTGCTCGCTGCGTCGTCCTCAATTTAAGCTGAACCCTCTTTGTAAGCCTCCAGGTTTCTGCTCCGCAGCTAAGTGCTGGCAAGATACAGCTGTTATATACCTTCCTCATGAGGGGTAGTGGCCATCTACCTGTCATAATCTGAGAGTGCCTGCCAAATGTGCTCCACCCTATTCTTATTCTTCTAGTTACTTCAATGTCGTGGTTCGGCTCCGCGGTTATTACCTGCCCTAAGTAGACATAGTCTTTAACAACTTGAAGTGCACTATTACCTATCTCGAAGCGCTGCTCTTTTCCGAGGTTGTTGTAATTACTTTCGTTTTCTGCAGATTAATTTTAAGATCCACCTTTCTGCTCTCCTTGTATAACTCCGTAATCATGAGTTGCAATTCGTACCCAGAGTTCATCGCAGCCTTTTCTTTCCTTTTCCTTTCCTTCGGGCGCAGCGTTGCGGTGTTGGAGGTGCCGCCGCGGGATGGGCGGGGTGCTGAGAGCATTTTCGGAGCGCAGTATGTTCTAATTAACCGTCGCAAGTGCTTGTGTGTTCGAATTACTGGGCGTTTTCGCCCATTGGAATACACATAGCTTTGATGGGACCTTATTGTGAGTTCGAATTAATGAGATTCGACTGTATTACACTCAGGGCATATAAGTCAGCAGAACATGCTGTAGAACTTAAAAAAAATATATATATATCTATGGGAAGGTAAGTGAGGCTTCGTGGCAGTGCGAATTTTTCCTGGATTGGCATTTTCACTGCTTAGCATTTCTGTGTTGCAGTGAAACCATTTTTACAGGAGGTTACAAAGAAACTAGTACAGTAGAACCTCAATGATACGTTCCCACTTAATACGATTTTCCTGCTCCAACGCATGAAATCCCGAAAACCTAGAATTACCCCATAGAGTTATGTGTTAATATGTTCCGCTACATACATTCCCAAAAAATACAATTATTTGGCAGCAACATTCGGCATTGGGGCAAACTGCGGTAATATGATACATTCCGCAGGCAAAAATTCTCATTCAGGTGTGCAAAAAAAAAAAAAAAGGCTCTGGCATGCTTGTGAAGCGCCAAGTGGCAGACTGCCGTCGCGCGGCGATTTCTTTGGTGCGTTTAATTGTTCACCTCTCTGCCACACAGAAACCCGTCTTCAGCCGTCAAAGTTCACTTTTCAAAAATTTCGAAGTGCTATAAAAAAAGTTGCAGGAAGGGCTTGAATTCACCCATTAGACTCGATTGGCTACTAGTTCCGCTGGATAATTTGTGTTAATTTCTATAACTACTGTCATAATTATTGTTGGTGCGCATCTGAAGATGCCTTCTTTTACAATAAAGGGGACGCCGCAGGTAGCATGAAGATGCCTCCTTTTTCTGTAATTTTTTAGGACACTTTTTTTGAAACACCGTGTATGGTGACAATAAAACTGAAAGTACACACGTGTACACAGCTCACAGGGTCATAGCGATGCTGCCAGCTGCAACCACTTGGAACAAAACCATGGTAGACGTGATCATGGATAGTATCGACACAGTTTTGAAAGCATGCATGCACAGACAGAAATGAAAAAACATCGCTTGCCGCAACCACTACGCATCACACCACGGTCACTATCAGCATGATTATAGATAGCAACTTCACAGCTCCTTAGGTATGTGGATAGTGCAGCGGTAGAGTAAATGCAATAAAGTCGCAAAAAGGCACAATGCATTTTGGTGTTCTCGTTGTTTGCTCCCGACTATAGTGGAGCAGACTTTGGCAGTTAGTTTTCAGTTACCTTCAAGCAAAGCTTTGACGTGCCTATTCGCGGCAGCCAGTTGCACCGACCCTTACTTATCCATTCGCCTGTGTCCCAGAAAGACATCTGCAAGTTCTTTAGACAGCAGCAATAAACTTTTTGGGTGTTTATTGTAGTGTGAAACAGATAGCTAGATTTTTGGTGATACAAAATTTTGAGTGAAATGAATATTTCGGCTCCACCAATAGATTCGGATCACCAAGATTCCACTGTATTCGAATTATAGAGGCAACATGTCGAGACATGCCAAGCATAAAGAATTTGTTTACAGCCCAACTCGCAGCTATATGTAAATTGACATGCTCGCCATACCTTGCTGGAATTTGAGTACATTTCGCCCAAGTCCTCTGCAGATGCCCCAATAAGCATCTCAGCCTCCTTGCCAAAACAGGTTACCCATTGGCCATCGCTGAAGTCTGTCAAGTTTGCCTGTGAGGAAATAGACAACAAAGTGACGCCTTAATTTCAAGACATCAATTGCATGCTGCGCACTTGCAAGCGCAGTGATGGAAGCAACATTTTGCTTTTTGGAGCAGATTCTGGAGCAGAAAAAATGGTGCTGTGGAGCAGGCTCGAGTGTATTCGGAGCAGAAAAAATGCTATTGCTTAAGGTTCCTATTGGCGTTTTCGGAGCAGTGTTGCTATTGGTGTTTTTACAGCAGATGCATGTTCTGAAGGACTCCTCAAGTCTAAAACATCCCTTAAGCATGTAATAAATATTTATATTTGTTATTAAACATGCCGTATGCTAGTATGCAGCTAGTATACAGAGGTATAGTAGCATCATTGACGTAAATCGGGGGATGGGTCAAGGGAGCCCAGACTTTTTTGCGTTCAGGCTGGAGAGGACAGCCCTAGCAAGTGTCTCCCTTGAGGTTTAGCTTTGCACGTGATATAACAGAATTAACAGTTAAGTAGAGTGCAATCAACTTTTTAAAAGGTTTTTTATCTTTTACTGCGTACCTGTGTTAAATGCCCCTCAGCTGTGTGAACTATGAAAATCAAAATAAAAAGGTGAAAAAAAAAAAGATTGAATAGAACAATGCAATTGCTCGAGCTTGGACCCTACGCTCACTTTCTAAAATTTCATTTGCAAGCATGATTTAATTCTTATATAAATAAAAATACATCCCATATTAAAAATACGAGTTGGACACCATGGCCTGATATGTGTCAACCCTTCAGTTTTAGCATACTAGGATGATAGTGTATACAGCTTGCTTTTGGTTTTGCTTTTTTAGTTTGCCAACACAATTTTGGAGCAGGTTTAGAGTAGTTACTAGCAAATATTGCACTTTGGAGCAGCACTTCCGTCACTGCAAGCATTTCAAGGAAACCCAAACAGGCTCGTGCGAGCCCAAGTTTCTGAGAAAGACCTACATCGTCAGTTGAGTGCGCGACATCATAAATAAAAAAGTGCTAGGCCTGCGCAGAATGCGCAGCATACTCACACCGAAATATGAAAGAACGGCCTGTCAAAACCCTTTTTAAAACCTCTTTGGGTACCTGCTACTAGTACACTTGAAGGGTGCCCACTACAGCTGGAAACAATTTTTGTGTAGTAGGCAGACTTTCACCATGATGTCCATCACTCTTTGGAGAAGCGTGGTACCCACTACATGCTTGCAAGAAATTTTGCATCTAATTTTCGATGATGTGGCTGACAACGATGAATTATGCCTGAAGCTTTAGTAATGGGTTGGAGCATTCGACGACCAACTCATTACACATTGTTAGATGCATGGTTGTTCCTTGGCTCTTCTAAAATGTTTTATTACTCGTACTAATGAGATTCCTTTCCCGACATCAAGCCTGCCTAAGGTCGGATTGTGACAGAATTTCAAGCACCAGCATGGCTCAACGGTAGAACACTGGGCTGGCACGCAGAGCACACGGATTCGAATCCCATTGTGCCCTTGGTGTTTTTCATTTACTTAGTTTTTTTTTTTTCTTATTTCATGCAATAGTAGTTACAGGCACTGGCGATGGCAGACAACTACAGCACCCTTGTTGTAACCTCATGACAGCTTTCGTTGTAAAATATTCTTCGTTCAACGAGCTGGTAGCGCGGGAACACCGAACACAAAGAAGAGCCACACAGCACGAGCGTTGTTAGAGAGCACTAGTGCTGTGAAGACCTTTCTATCCTGCAAAAAAGATAAAAAATACTAATTGTGGCTTTGGGTCCCGGAAGCACAACATGATTATAAGGGCTTCGATAGTGTACAGCTCTGAAAACTTCGACCATCCGTGGTTCTGTAACGTGCACTCAGATCTAAGTACGTGGACCTCAGGCATTTCATTTCCATTGAAATGCAGCCACTGCAGCCGAGATTAAACCTCGTTGTCTTCGCGTCGGCAGTCTAGCCCCATAACCACCAGACCACCACAGCAGGTGGTATCACAAATATAATTACACACAAATGTGGTGCATAACTACCCATTTTTGCTGTCTATTGTCTGCCAACGTGCACTGATGGCATTCCCCTGTACAGATGTAACTTTTCTGCCAAATAAGAAAATACTGATTGTTGTATGACAGCCACTCCCACAGCTCATACATTTAGTGCCAGCCCTCCTTTAGTTGCAGGCACCAACATTATCACTTTAACATTATCTGTTACTACCGTACACCAGCCATCTTATTACCCTCTTTCATAATTTTAGCCCGTACCGAAACAAGAAGCCTCCACTTGAATTCCATGGTCTCCTGGGCACACTTTTCGCAGCGGTAATATCCAGTCTGCAGGTCGATCACTTTTTTGTTGCAATTCTCGCTCGGACAGGCCTTGTAGAGGCAGTTTTCCTTGCGGATGATCGACACACATGCCTTGACGCTGTAGTAGTCTGGCTTGTCCCCTTGGCCCAGGCCTTCAGCCTTGGCCTGCGCTATCGACTTCCAGTTTGAGTTGCCTCCTGTAAAAACATCGCTTAAATGGAACAACCACCTTTAAGTTTGTTGGTTTTACGGTACTGACAACGATGAGGGTGGGTTTCTCTGCCATACACATCTCCTGTGTACAGAGACAGCTCTGAGCAAGGGTGAAGATCAGCAAATGCTGACAATATCTTTTATTTTGAAATTGAAGTATATTTTGGATTGTTTCACCTACTGGTATCCACACTTTTACATGATTTCAGGTGGCAGAATCAATTTTGGTGGCATCACGCTACTGTATGGCCAGTAACAATGAGGTCAGGTACCAAAGCATTCAGAATGGCCCCTTGTGAATCACTAAAGACGCCATGCAGCCGAGCAGCGATGGAAAAATTCCCAACATCATGCACGAGCGTGTGACAAAAAGCTTGTCCAGTGTTGTGACAATAAGGTACCGAAACCACGTTTTCGCACATCTTTCTAATGAAACTCCTTGTAGATGGACCTAATTTCTTAGGTCGTTCGGAGTTCCCTTTTTGCACAAAAGTTGACATTCTGGAGAGGGACAGAAATGTATGCAAAAGAGTAATCCTCTAGAGCTGCCTCTACTGAGACTCAAGGACTGAACTACAAGTTGCAAGTGGCTACGTTCGAAAGCAACAAAAGAGCCATGACAAGTCTACATGTGTCAGCTGTTCCAAGTTAATTTCAGAAACCAATGATCTTCAATTGTGCACCTAAATCTTAGTGAATGGGTATTTTCTATTGATTTGAGAACAAAATGAAGCTAAATAATTTTAGTCTCTTGATACCACGGGCACCTTTACAATGCAGCAGTGCATTACAGCTATTTACATACCACAATTGGATGACCTACTCCACAAAATAAAGAGTACTCACCCATTGGTCCACCTCTCTGATTGGAAAGGGAGTGCGTCTGCAGAAGTGTTCCCTCCCTACTGTACCAACCCATCAGGGCGTGGGACTCTGGAATGTCTGGGTTCACCTGAAGCATGCTTGAGCTGATGAGGGAGAGGGAAACGCCTGTAAAGCAACAAACCAATACACCAGGTTACTGCAATAATAATTTTGATTCCAACCTGGCAGCGAGTGTCCTTGGTGCTCACAAGTTGAAGGAACAAGTAAAAAGTAGAAAACGATCTAAACTTACCACTGAAGTCCGATACACGTGCTCCTTTAACAGCCACGACAGGGTTGTCAGAGCCATCAAACTTTTCTGCCTGGAATTAAATCAAGAAATCGAGAAGCCGTTGTTTAGCGCCATCGCCAAAGTGATTCAATAGCTGTTATCACCGTACTAGGAAACCTTCGCATTACACTATCGCATGAACCACGAGGTCACACTGCCTCCACATTTCTCAAAGTCGGGCGCAACAGAGAATCAGCGGAAGTCTACTGCATCTACCGTAAAGTAACGCAAAACTAAGCAAAATAAAGATGATTTTTTTTGGTGATGCAGTGTGTGTAAACTGGGTAAGAATGTTGCCACTCCCTGTAGAAGCAGTTAGCAGGAACAGGAACACGAGGCGGAGAAGTACACATGACAGAGGCTTGATAGAGGTGCACACAGGCTCGATGCCCAGACAAACTATCTAGAGAATACATGTGGGCTTCTTTTGTACTTCAACACTGTTTCCAAGTATTTATGAAATTCCTCTCTCGCCACATTCAAACTCGCATATTATCTCTAGATTTTACTTCATTACTGTAACAATCCATCTGGGGGTGGCCATGTTGCAGCCCGGCAGAACTTTTAAATAAAGCTAACACACAAATTTAGATTTCATATAAATCTTCAGTAGGGCTTATCCAAAAGTAACACTACTGCCCAGTCAAGCAACAATAGCATATAGAAGCGAAGATAGAGTTAGGAAAATTGCACCACCATAATCACACACACCTATGCTGTCCTTGGTGTGCGAAAGAAGCAGTGTGCAAAAAATTGGATAACGCCAGTCACCACCGTGTGTGACATCATCCGCAACCGCACCTGATCTCCCCAGAGGGTAAGAGACACCTCAGTGCCACTTCGATCCACAAGGCTCACATCCCTCTTCTTGAGTTCCTGACTGGTGGTGCGGCGTGTCACTGTCTGTAAGTCGCTCGCCGACTTGCAGACTCCGATGACATCTGCGGCAGCCCAGCATGCAATCAAACAATTTTGCTTCATAAGCTCCATACACAACGTTAAAAATTTCCTATTCCGAAAAGGTTTTAGACAAAAAAACTACAGAGCAAGCGATGATCGTATTATACAGACATTTGAACAAGGGAAGAGCCAATGTGCCAATGAAGGAGTACAAATGTCTTCAGAATGTGTGCAATGATAAGCAAGGGAGGAAAAAAACAACTGTGAAACCAAAACATAATTCAAAATCTGTAGAGGCTCACAGTGTCCCACATTAACATTTTTGTTTGCAATCATGTGCATGCGAAGGACTACAGATTTGTCCACACAGGTAGTTGTGTGAGTTGCTTTAGCACGATTAAGACTGAAGATCACCTGTAAAACATGAACAAAAGGTTTTGTCTTGTCTGGTGTGCGTTGTAGTCGCCTTTAGCCTACGCCTTCTAACCACATTCCAATCTTTATTACACCATTGAGCTGACTTCAGCAAGCTTCAGTTGAAACACCAGCCATTTTGTAGTTCATTCCGCTCGTCCATTGACTGCTGTAGCACACTACCCAGAGTTGTACATTATCAATTACCCCATTCTCAAGCACTGCTTTAAAATGTAAAAATGAAAAATGTAACTGTACAAAATGACAGTTGTTTAGACCATACTTCAACAAGACAATGGCTCAGGCTTTCTCCTCAGCGCAACAATGAGGAACATAATAAGTTAAAACCGAACAATGAGTTAAAAGCATGAAAATCATTACAGATAAACGATAACCATGCTGTTCCACAAACAAGCGATCTCACCGATTACACTGTCCTTGCTTATTTCCTGCAGACGTGAAATGGGCACAAAGTTGAACTGAAGTGTAGGGATGTTTGGAGTAACGTCATCGCATGGCGTAATAGTTGTCTCTGAAATGAGTGACATCTCGAAGTCGTTCTTTATCGATGAAAACGAGTAGCCTTTCTTGACATTCTTGATAACGGCTCTTGAAATGTAGTACACCTGCAAATATTTTTCCGGTATGCGATTACTTTCTTTGGAGAGTAGCATTGTAGGTGAAAACTCGACATGTATTTTCGGCAGGCTGCACGACAAGCAACTATTTCCCAAGGTTTTGGAAGAAGCATTTCGCATGCACTGCGGAATGTTTGGACAACGCATCGTAGTAGACCCTCAAACACAAGAAGGAATCAGGCTAACCTTGTTGACTTCAATAACGTCGTAGTAGCGGTCACACTCAGCATTGAAAGCTGTGGCACGTATCTCTCCACTCTCATCCAGAAGGTCCATTGAAAAGAGTTTCCCTTCCCCCTTGGAGTTGCTCCAAGTACGAATGTTGGACTTGTTTGTGACACGCGCTCTGATGGTCCACCTTAATTAAACATGTAACAGAAGAGAAAATAGAGCACTCCACAATACAAGAGGTACATGAAGTGCTGCAACAAAAGTAATGGCTTTGCTAGTGGATACTTTTAAGATACTAGTATTATACTGACAAAAGACATTCTCATCCATACTTTAAAATATATATAATTTATTGGGTAGCTGCAAACCTCCCAACAAGGCCAGAATAGCTTGACCACAAAAAAAAATTATTTACATCCTCTCTCAATGTAACCATAGAACTCCCAGATGAAGCGCAGTGTCTTGGTCCAAGGCATGCCTACAAAAGTTCCCAATGCATCCTGACAATGAGAGGTAGTGGCCATGTGGCATCGAAAACTGCTGCTTTAAAACTTAAGCAAAACGCAGACAAGTTGAACCCACACCACAATATTCACCAAGCTATTTAATTTAGCAACACTTATCACTCACATACAGTAAAACTTCTAGTTAGGCAACAAATAAAACACCCAGCAAACAGATTAACGTTTCACTGCAAACCAAAGCTTCAGTCTAGGAAACAGCTCACAGTAGTCAATGTACAAACATGGCTGCTGAATTAGTTTAAGGCTGCTTCAATAATCACTATGTCATCAGGACAGCTACTGTATAAACCGGAATATAAGTCGTGGTATTTTCAATAAAATAACAAGCTTAAGTCGCCCCTCGTCTAATATAGCAGTGTCTAGCCGAAAGTGCGCCGCTGTCTTGCAACATGTGGCCTGCATGTGCTTGAGAAGCCGGACGCGGCCATATCCGCATCCAAATCCAATCGCAAACTTTTTTTTTCTGTTTTTTTTGTTTGTGATTTGCTTCCAATGTGTTCAGAGTTTTCGCTCCGCTTTAGATTGCGCTGCATTTTTAGTGGTTTTTTTTTTCGTTCACTGAATATGAGTAGCAGTACGAGGAGACAGTACTCAGCTGTGTTTAAACTAGATTTTGTTGAGTTTGCAGAGGCAAATGGGAATATGGCTGCTCAGTGCCGCTTTGGTGTATCAGAAAAAAAGCGTGCGCTATCGGAGGGCACAGAAAGGGAAGCTGCAGATGCGCAATCCTCGAAAAATGTCGTTTCGTGGACGAAGTTCCGTTCATCCACAGCTGGAGAATAAGCCAGCGGACTTTGTGCGGGAACTTCGTGCGCGCTCGCTGCCAGTGACTGTGGATACCATTCGCAAGAAAGCCGTGGAACTCGCTCGAGAAGCTGGGCTCGCGAGAAAAAGTTTCGTGCACCAAACACTTGGGTGCATCAATTTATGCGACGCAAGGGATTTTCTCTCCGGCAGCGCACATCCATCTGTCAGAAGTTGCCGGAGGAGTTCGAGGACAAGCTTATAAACTTTCAGCTCTTCGTGAACCGGCTTTGGGAGCAGAACGACTACATGATGGGGCAGATTGGCAACGCCGATGAGACCCCCGTGTGGTTTGACATGCCTTCGTCGACCACGATCATGCCGCGCGGCACCAAGGATGTGAAGCTGTTGTACGCTGGCAACGAGTACTCGCACTTCACTGTCATGCTGGCATGCACCGCAGATGGTAGAAACCTTCAACCCCTCATCATTTTCAAACGCATGACAATGCCAAAGGAAGTGTTCCCGCCCAGTGTTGTTGTTCGCGTCAACAAAAAGGGATACATGGACGAGGCCATGATGCTCGAACGGATAAGAGTAGTGTGGAACTGTCAGCCAAGTGCACTGCTGCGTCTTCGGAGCATGCTGGTGTTGGGTGCGTTTCGTGGTCACTTAACCGACGCTGTGAAACGCGCACTCCGCAACGGGAAAACGGACCTCGCCATGATACCAGGTGGTATGACGTCCACCCTCCAGCCGCTCGATGGTGTGCTGAACAAGCCGTTCAAGGACCGAGTGTTTCTGGAGTACCAAAAGTGAATATCCGGTGACAACCCAAAGGCACCGACGGGCCACCTACAGAGGCCTCCGCTAGCGACTGTTTGTGGCTAGGTGCTTTCCGCCTGGCGTTCCTTGCCAGATTCCATGATGGAAAAGGCTTTCAAGAAATTTTGCATCAGCAACTCGCTGGACGGCACGGAAAACGACGCACTGTGGGAGGCGGCCAGCGACAAACTCTCGTGTTCGGAAGACAGTGGTGCTTCATCGGACGAATAGGAGCAGTTGCAATGGTGGTTATGGGAAGCTCCGACGATCGGGGAACGGTGCGCCCAATTTGCAAATAAATGTGGTTCGGCAGTTTCGGGTTGTTTTCCTTTTTTTTTCGCTAACCAGAACTTGGGAGGTCAACCTATATTCCAACTAGACCTATAGTCGGGTTTATACGGTATGTTTCATGTTAACCCAACTTCTCAACAGCTATTGCAACGGAACTATTGAATTGAGCAACTTGCAGTAAAAAGAAGCCTTACATTCAAATTCCAGAATAAGAGACTTCACACAACTGTAAAGAGCTTCTGCATCACCATTATTGAGGCTTTTCAAAGATTATTAATATTGCTCAATTGCAAAGCCAAATGGAAAGTTACCTGTTCTGATATGGAGTGAGGCTGGCAATGGGGACAACAACGACATCACTGGTAGAAGCGGGGTATGCCCGGTTTCCAAATGACGATGCTGCAAAGGGGCACAATTCATTTCAGATATGAAAAAAAAGAAAACCCTTGCGCCATTATAGATTTTGCTTTAGAACAATCGGTACACATTACAGTAACCAGTGTTTGAAACATGATACTTGGTGCGCATGGCTACCAGTAGCTTATGCACTACCGTTGAGCACATAAGACACTGAGTTGATGCAGCTAAGCACATAACTCTTGAAGTTAAATGCAAAGCTTATACACTTTTTCGCATAACTACTATGCACAGCTTGTGAAATCCACATAACGTTGCTGCAAACCTGCAAGTGTTCAAAGTTACACCAATGTGATGTGAACAGACAACACTGAAAACGAAAATATGTGCTTTATGTAGCCATGACTTTCCTCGTTTCCATGTATGAGTACTTTACGCGATGAAAGGATGAATGTGAGAGCCTTGATGGCGCAGTATGACTGAACGTGGTGCCCCAAGTGATCACACAGCGCGCTCTAATGACACACAAAGTGCCAGCCACCGTGCAGTCAGAATATCATGTTTCATTACTTCGAGTTTTTGGTTACTGCATGTGAAAGATGAGATGCTAGCTTTCCTAACACTCTCCCAAGGCGCAACAACATGACAAGCACAAAATGAAACACCATGGCTCCAAGAGTGCTATCCTGCTTTGCGCCTCTTTTTATGCTAAGAGTGGCTAGCTGATCCTATTGATAACATGGTATCGTTGCCCTGATAACTGGCCAAGGGCGAAAGCACAAAAGACATTGCTACAATATACCCGCCCAGAAATCTAAAGCATGATATGAATTCTGTATACTCACGTGCAGCATTGTTCTGCTGAAGTGGTGCCTTATTGGTTCCACCATCTGCACACAGCAAAGAACTGTCAGCACATTCTAAGTATACCACATGCTAATACACTAACTTAAGTATTCAGTACATCTTCACTGTGCCCTGCCCCTTCAAGGAAGTTGCACGTGCAGCCAGTACGCCACAAAAACTAGTCCAGAGAAGCAGCCTAGTCCTCTTCAAGGCTACAAATTAAACAATATCTTGAAGACAAGACCACATGTCGAAGTGTTGGCTCCAGCGACACCCTGTGTTTAAGAATTTTTCATTTCTTCAAGCTTACACCTTTGCTGAACTTATGATTCATTTATAAACCTAGTCCCCGAGAGCCATAAACATGAAAACACATATTATGGCAAACACACCAAACACACGTGCACTAATAATGGCATCACCCTTCTGCTTCTAATGGCAATCAAGATTGATCTGGTTTAGACAGCTTCGGCTTGTGCACTCTGCCATCTGCACTTTGCCAATTGTGAATGGAGGTACACCGCCTAAGAACTGTACCATTCTCTTTAGGTTGGACATTTTCATTTTTCTTAGTACTTCAATCTGTTGCCACAGTAAAACTTTTGTAGCTGCATTACATGATAAGTCCATTATCAGAACTTGCTGATACGTTAACAAAACCATGACCACATACAGCCATTTCCTATGGCACCTAGAAAAAAACAAGTGGAGCTTGCAGCTTGCTTACCTGTAGGCTGTGCAGCACCAGAGGATGACGATGTTGGTATTACAGGGCTCCCCAGCCTGCAGCCCACTGTAGAGCCTTTAGCTATCACGGTCAAGTCCAGCACAATCAGAACTTTCCTAAGTGGGTTCAACACAACAATGCAATCAGTCACTGCAGAGATCTCAAAGCTATCAGTATTTAAAAAACATTTTTTTTTTGTGTGTGTGTGTGGCAAGCATACACATCTGCCTGCTAACTATGGCTGATATACTGTAATGATTTCACATCACAGCTGCTTTTACTAGCACATTATGAGTGGTCCAAGTGGTGCTCTACCTCCGTTATCACTGGAACAAGCCAATCCTATGTAGCGAACGATTGAAAAAAAGAACACAATATAGCAGCGAGATAAACTCTTACACTACACCAGCCCTCATTACATATACAATCTCCTAAAGAAAGAATACTGCAATCGTGAAAGATGTGAATTTTCCGAGCTAAAAGGAGCAAAATTTATGCATGCACAGTTGGGAGAACAGATTAGAGCAACTTCCTCTGAGAGTGAGAGGCCAGGCAAAAAGAACCCTTCCTCTTGCTAGTCCTATCACTGTACCGAATCGCGCTACAGAACTGTGGTTGAAACACACTACGGATCAGAGGGTCTAGAAAGTGCACGTCTTCAGAGGTGCAAGAATGATGACCGTAGCAATCTGCGCGTGAATAAAATTCAACGAGCATCAACGCCAACCTCTGTGGCAGCTTGACGCAAGCAGATGCCCGCACGAGACACAGAACGCAAGCACCCGTACCTAAAATGCATTACTATATTAGAACAGCATCACATAAATTTGGGAAGGCTTAACAAACTAGTTTGTAGTTGTCGGAACATGACCAAACCTACTTGTCCGGACTGACAACGTTGCACATATACTTGTCCAACTGCACCACAGCAAATTTGTCAATCTCATTGTTGGTGATCATGCCGTTGAGCTGTGTGCCCAGCATGGCGTCTGCAAACAGCGACGAAAGTGCATTAGAAATGGTACACGTAGCAGGCATCGTTTGAAAACGAAATGTAGCTTACATGTGTGACACTGAACACCATCCGACAGCAGCAGCCTGTATCTATCAGCTGTGTTGCTGCTAATGGGCTTGAAGTTCTGTAAACAAAGCAAGGAAGGTTGTTCCTAAACATGCAAACTGCCAGTTCTACGGTGCTTGCCCAAATGCACAAGACAGCGCGGGCCGTAATAGCAACGCAAATGGTTCGAATAAGTACTGACCAAAACTTGCAATATGGGCTTGTCAACTTGCTGATTGTTGAGAATGCGCTGTAATACCGAAACAGGCAGGGAACTTAAGTAAGTGGCATACACCTATTAGTGCAACATGAACTGAACGCCTATCACATCTCACCTCTACCGCGCCAGCAGTCAGGCGGTTCTCCATAGCGTCTTCTCAGCTTGCAATCGCACAACTAGTTCCAAATAAACGCCGATAAGAAACGTCAAACGAAAGCCACAATTCACACACTGTCAACGTGCGTGTCCAGACAAGAACAACGCCATTTACTCTAGAAGCGCGCCAAATGCGATGTTCCCGTTGTTTTCTCCAGTTTCGGTTCGACGGCGCTACCATCGCCGCCTGCGCATCCGTTATTGCTTGAATAAAAAAAGTTCATTCTTCGCTAGTGCCACAACTACAACGCTGAAAAGTTTCTCTGCGCAGATATGTGCGCAATCGGGTATAAGGTGAAATCCGAGCTAGACTGAAACGGAGCTCAGCTTTTCAGCCCTTAGCGGTTTCTCGTGTTTCACGCTTTCCACGGCCGGCAACTACGTGCGCACTATCCGTCTCTTCCTCCTTCTCGTACTCCGTCCCATGATCCGTCCAGATTCCGGACAGAAGGGTTATTCGGTGTTCCCCCCATCTTCCCTGAAGAAGTTTCGGACGGCCCGTTAGGAAACTTCACTCAAGAGTTCGGGAGGGCGCCGCAGATGTTGGCGGGCGCCGTGTCGCCGATGTCATCATGTTTACGGTCGCCCGAAGATACCCGTTGAGCAATCCGTTTTGGCTCGTGTGAACGTCATTCGGCCAGCGCTATGCTAGGGACGGCGGGTGCAGCAGTACGCCGTTTCCTGACCTAGTAATTATTAAAACTGGAGCTCGTCTTCAAGATGATCGGCATTTCACCGCCAAGCTTATGATACCGGCCGAGCAGGGTCGTCTACGAGAAGACTCATCATGCCGTTCAGAAAGAATCGAAAGCCGGGAAAAGTTGTCCCAGTTCGGGTGTCTACGATGGATGCCGAACTGGAATTTGATCTTGAGGTAAGCGCCCCTTCGTTTTTGAAGTTTTCGTTTTCTTTTTATAAGCGCGTGACTCACCGTACGTCGTCCTTGAAAAGGTCAGTGTAGCTTTTTACGGCGTTATAAGCTACCACGTGCAGGCGACGCCTTGGAATCCGTTGCTCTATGCGTTGTTCACGCAATCAACAAATGCTTTATATATAACGCGTTTTTGTCTTCTCTCTGTCTGTGCTGCAGCCAAAAGTCACCGGTCAAGAACTCTTCGATTTGGTTTGCCGAACCATTGGCCTGAGGGAAAGCTGGTACTTCGGCCTTCAATACGAAGACACCAAAGGATTCGTCGCGTGGTTGAAGCTCGACAAAAAGGTAAGCGCTCAGTCGTTAAAAAAAAAAAAATCTCGTTTACCCAGTCGCGATTCGAGGCGCGCAGACTTCGATACAGTCGGCACGGGGCCTGTTTGACAAGTTGGTGCTGTCATGCCCCGCATATTTTCCTCTAAAGTCCGGCAATTTAACGATGTGTACTACCGCGTGACGTACTCTCATAACGTGACGTTACGATGCGATCACTAAACTTGCGTCTTTGGATTTAGTGGAAGGTCGAGTTTTGACGTGTCGCGCGGCTTTGTTTTCGGCTTGCCGAAACTGACATGTTCAGGCGCTGTCAAAAAGCCGATGTACTACGTTTCGCAAGTCCCTATGTGTTTTTTCCCCCGTTGCGTGCGTTGGCGTCTTATTACCCACAAAAAAAGAACAGTTGCACTGTGTCTGGAATCGCTGACATGCTCCCCCCCCCCCCACAAAAAAAAAATATACAAATCGCGAAATGTTGCTGATCAAACGAAACTGTCTACACGAGTTTGCTGTAAAGTGAATGAACATTTGCCGTCGTGAAAGTTCCACATAGAGGCATGGTCTTCAGAGCATGCATATTGTGTGAGATGATATAAAGAATAACGTGAAATCAACGTTAGAAATAGATGGCAGTCACATAAGCAGTGATAGGGGCATGCACTTATTGTGGATAAAGATACTGACTTTACAACTGGTCATGTTAACCACACGAGGCTGGTGCAAATTTCCTTGTTAGGCGCAGACATTGCTAAATGCCACTTCCGTCATATCCCTGAGACTTTATCTTTGAAGATGACACTGCTTCGTGGTTGTGACTCTGTTATAGGGTCATGTGTTGCTAGGCAGCACCACTCGTGTTCTAGGGCACAAAAGTGCAGTGTTATACTTAAAGAGGCCCTGCAATGCTTTTTCATCTGCACCCTGTAGGGCTCTAGGGTATGTACGGCTGAATACTGAGATGACGTAAAAAGAATGATTGAAATTAGTGCACAGTAACTGAAGTTATTGGTCATTAAACTTCAAACACTATTAGACGATGAGAAAAAAAGTTTTCCTTTCGTATTTCTCTTCCACTGAGTTATTTATTCATATACCCTAAGAGCCCATGTTGGCATTGCATGGGGGGGAGGGGGGGTAGTTACAATATTGCAGGTTTATGTTCACAAAAGAAATATTTACACAGAACATGAAAAATATAGAGGTAAATGTAAAAAGCACAAGTCTGCATAAATAAAAAAAACATAGTAATGCAAGGCAGCACTCAGTAAGGCATGAAACGAGGTATGCGATAACTTATGTAATACTGGCCCTAGACTAACCAAAAGAAAGCTGTAAAGTGTTAGTTATACATTCCGCATCTCCTTTAATTTGATAATTTGATGTGAAAGACCAGTTTCGGTCACTGCACGCCTCTTATGGAGACATACTGAATGACACATCGTCATAGCCATTGTGTAAAACGCCTGACGTGTTGGGATTGTTTTCAAAATTTCATATTATAAAATAGAAATCCTATCATATCTGAATAAGTATAGTAAGTGTTTATATTATTTTTAGTGCACAATAGTAGGGCCTATTGGAACCATATGAATATTATATGCAACTTGTCACATTAAGCCAATTGTGATGAACGATCAGTGTCATTACTCTCATCTGATGAAGTGTCACTTCCAATCAGTAAATAGCTGTTGTGTGTCGCTCTAGCCCGAAACCAGTGTTTTTCTCCGTGAACAACAGCTTTGCTTTTGGTGTTGCCATATGTGCAACAAGATTGATGCATTTCACAGTTCGAGAAGAAGCAAGTCAAACTACATGCTTAATTTATGTCACGGGGCTTTTACGGATAGGCGCAGAGAGGGGGTGTTCAATCTTCCTTAGCAATTTCTAAAGTTTATGTGCATACCAGAAGGAGAAACTTGGGCAAGTTGATGGGAATTCATCTTTGATAACTAACCGTGCTAATTAAATGTGTGTGCAAACACACACACACACAAAGAAGGACGGAGAGATATACCAAAGTCACACCCTTCTTTCTCCCTCATCCTCCCCCTCAATAAAAATCTTCTACTTGTGTTTCCATTTGTAGGTTTCCGTTTATGTTTCATTTGTGTGTGGAGTCGTGTAAATGTTGTGTACCGCTCATGTTACCCCCCCCCTCCCATTTGTGTGTATTACCGCGTGTGTGCCACAAGGTAAATACCAGCGCTGCTTGGAGAGTGGAACGGAGCAAGTGCGCGCCGCATTATATATTAACGCACAGTTGTGGTGGAGAGATAAACAGGACAGGTGAAACGAAGCGGGGCAGCGCTTTACCACCTCCTTCACCCCACCTTCTCGCACTCACGTGGAGAGGGGGAAGACTTGTCCTATGCACAGTGGGGGGAGTGGATGGTCGCTGAGGAAAGGACATAGTTCTGAGCAAAAGCTGCTTCACGTCTAAAAGAAACAATACTATAATTGGGATCATAAGACGCTTTGCAAAATGTTGATCACCGTTGTCCAGTAATGTAGTACTGTACAAAAGCCATTTCATTTACTGGAAAGGTGGACATGCTAAATCTCTTTATTGATCAGCTGCTATTAGACTGCTGCTGCTGCTGCTACTCTTGCATTGCTGAAAAGGAGTGCATCATCATCTCCACTATTTTAACCATAAAAATTTCTGCAATGATTTATCTCAAGCTCACTATAACATGCAGTAATCATGTTGTGGGTCTGAAATTCCTCACATAATTAGTGTTAACCTTAGCTTGAGCGATCTGTTGTGAAATGGAGGCATGACGGCTGTTTCAGGTTCAAGACCAAGATGTGGCCAAGAAAAGTCCACTCTGTCTGCTCTTTTTGGCAAAGTTTTATCCCGAGGATGTTTCTGAAGAGCTTATACAAGAAGTTACACAGCATCTTTTCTTTCTTCAGGTGTGTTCATTGCCTTTGCGTTCATTGCTCATGGGCCAACTTTGCAGTGGGCCTGTCACAAGCGAGTAAAGATAGCTACATGTGGTACTAAAATTAGCCCTCTTTATGAATTATAAGGAAGTCCTTTGAAGATGATTTTCTGAACTTTAATATCAAAGAAATTATGAAAAACATGCAAATAATTATCAGATTTGTTGTGGCTGTGTTAAATAGTAATGTTAATAAAAAAAGATGTCAAATTATTTGATGTCACACTGAAATACTGTGCTTGGTTTTGGGGCGATTTTCAACTAATTGATATTGGGGCTTCATTTTCTCTTCTTGTGGTGGAGCTTATAGAAGTTGAGTTTTCAAGGTTGCTTCATCAGCCTGAAGTCATCGGAAACTTTTTAGTGCAGCAGAAATGTGTCTTACTGCATCTAGCTACAGTGTATTCATTGCCATGCGTTTTAATATGTGGGCTCATATTCTGTCCTTATCAGGTGAAACAGGCCATCCTGAGCATGCATGTGTACTGCCCACCTGAAGCCTCAGTTCTCCTGGCATCATATGCAGTTCAGGCAAAGGTGAGCACTGTGGGGGGATTTAAAAGGGGCATTGTCTATCTGTTGTGAACATGTATTAGTACTGTGCACGCAACTGTCCCATTTCTAGTCAAAGCAGTTATGTCTTGGTGACTAAGACACATAGTAACATGCTAACATTATTGGGTGCTCTATGTGTTCGTTTGCTTTTGTGAGTATTGTTTCTAATTACTGAACAGCAACTGAACGACGTTTTTCTGCCTTGAAACCGAAAGTGTCGTCCGAGCCATTGAAGAATGTACAGAAAGACAAATAATTCTTCAATTTTCGGCATTCTTGGAACTTTCGTCCACATATTAATTTCTGGGAGTACATTTGTTTGTACTTTTTTCTATTATATTACTGCATTATGCCATTGCTTCTCATTGTGTGTCTATAATATGACTAAGCTTCCCAAATGACAGCTTGTTCAGGGTTCAGGTCAGCGTTTCAGTTCTCCTAAAGGCCA